TGACCCATTCTGATCAAGATATGTACTGGACATCACACCTCAGAAAATTACTGAATGTTTGAATAATCCAACAAAAAATCCTTCCATGGAAGTCTTTTGATACTGTTTTTCCATTTTATTTTTAAAAAAAACAACAACCCTCAAACATAAAACAATGAATCTGTTTTGATAGTGCTAAGCTATTAGAACAGGATGCCTGGAGGGGAATATGGTCACCTCACAATCAAGAAGGCTGTACAGCTCAGAGCTCCTGCGCTCAGGTACATAATTTCTCTTCAAAACAACTCATTAACTGGGAATATTTGAAAGCTTTTACCCCCACTCGGAAGGGGAATGTCAGCAGATATGCTGAGATCAAAACAAGGTAGTACAACAAACTTTCTCAAGCCGCCACAACATTGGGGAGAAGCCAGGGCAATGAGCCAGCACAGAGATAAGATGGCATCTAGTCCAATTAAGACTGCAGAAGGCACAGTGGAAATAGATACTATGCAGTGCTCAATGTATTCTCATTAAAGAAAGGATAACAGAAACATGGAGTGAATCCAATGTCAGAAAAATTAGTTGGAACCATATTTGGTATTTCAGTCCTGTCCTTGTAATCAATCAAATGGTAAATGAAAAATTTAAGACATCATGGGTGGGGGGAAATAAAGAAAAATAATATACAAAGGTAAAGGTAAAGGGACCCCTGACCATTAGGTCCAGTCATGACCGACTCTGGGGTTGCGACGCTCATCTCGCTCTATAGGTTGAGGGAGCCGGTGTTTGTCTGCAGACATCTTCCGGGTCATGTGGCCAGCATGACTAAGCCGCTTCTGACGAACCAGAGCAGCACATGGAAACGCCATTTACCTTCCCGCCAGGGTGGTACCTATTTATGTACTTGCACTTTGACATGCTTTCAAACTGCTAGGTTGGCAGGAGCTGGGACCGAGCAATGGGAGCTCACCCCATCACGGGGATTCGAACTGCCAACCTTCTGATCAGCAAGTCCTAGGCTCTGTGGTTTAACCCACAGCGCCATCCGCGTCCCAATATACAGTGGTATCTCGGGTTAAATACTTAATTCCTTCTGGAGGTCTGTTCTTAACCTGAAACTGTTCTTAACCTGAAGTACCACTTTAGCTAATGGGGCCTCCTGCTGCTGCTGCGCCACCGGAGCATGATTTCTGTTCTCATCCTGAAGCAAAGTTCTTAACCTGAGGTAATATTTCTGGGTTAGTGGAGTCTCTAACCTGAAGCGTATGTAACCCAAGCTACCACCATAGAAGGAATAAATTCAGGATTGCTGTGGGAAACAATGAAGGCAGTATTTAGACGCATATGTATTTAAAAAAAAAAAAATTAAGACCGCACACGACAAGAAGTTCAAAACAAATTTGCAAACAGCTGCAAATTAAGCAAAAAGAACTAGAAGCAATAGAAATAGATAAAATGATGAATATAAATAGAGGAAACGATGGAGCAATTACTATATTTAAAACAAAAATATTCTTAATATGGGCATAAGGGATCCAAACTATTAGCTGCCAGGTTGCAAAAAAAAGAGAAACAAAGCAACAATTACTGGTATAAAAATGAAGACAAGAGAAAGACTTTCTAGCAGAAAATTAATATGTGGTGGGAAGTCTCAGAGGCATGCTCAGAGTTCAAGGATAAATTCCATCCAGGGAAAAACACTGGGTTGTGAAGCAAGGGAGTGACCATGGGGAGGGTTCTGAGAGCCAGATAGAGAGGGAACAGGAGGAGGATTGAGCTGTAAGATTCCCCTCCTCTGTCCTAAGGGGTGGAATATCTCACCCAGGCAGCTGGAGATTCAACTTCCTGCCAGCAGTGGTGACTGATGAAAAGTTATTGCATGGAGTGGGGAGGAAAGGGAAACAGTCCTAAAATTATTACTGCTTTTGCTCATGAATATAACGTTCCAAAATGTGATCCAACAAAGTCTTATCATGTGGCATGTTATGGCTGCCTTTGTTCTAAAAACGGATAGAATGTAGGAGGAATATTAGCTTGGTTAATTGTTCTAAAAACATCTGCCTTTATTCAGCAAAGGGAAAAATGTGTGTGGGTTAATGTGCGCTTACATCATTTACATTTTACATAAATTCACAAAGATTAATAAAGTTAAGTGGAAAACAAAGGGGAAGGAAAACGAACTTAAGAGCATTTCATTGAAGTACATGGCAGTGAAAAGGGTGTAATACTAGGAATTGATGGAGTTTAGCCAAACCAATAGGTTTTGCACCCAGTATTATCAGAGCATTAGCTCTGCTCTTTACCTATTAAATATTTAACCCAACTATCTTATAACACCTTATTTAGATTTTGTCTCTTATTAAAGATTTGTCAGCTTTTGGGGTTTCATTTGTGTTTGTAGTTTTTAATTCAATAATTCTTTACCAAAATACATACTCTCATATATGTTTTTCTCTTGTAAGGTTTAAGAATGTGATGTTTGAAATTATACCTGGTGAAGAGGTAGGTGACTTTGATATCAAAGATAAATTCTTAGGTGTGGATATGAAAAAGTCATTTTCAAGTAAAATACCTTGTAAGAAATAAATCTTTGTACAGATTGGATTTTGAGATGAGAGTAGAAAAATAGACAGGAATTCAAAGAACCTTGCAACTTTTGTTTGTTGCTTTAGTATTGAGACAAAACTGAAACAGTCCAACTGATGCTCTTGAACAAACGAAATGCAAAAGAAGTCTGCATCATTATCAAACACAAACTCATGGAGTTTCTTACATCATTGCATCATTTACTCTACTAGACAGAGGCCTGTAAAAGACATGTCAAGTCTCCAGTGAAAAAAATGCTTGTACTCTATGCATTCCTTAATTAATTACTTAGCTGTTTGTTCTTGCTGTACAAAGATGCATGGTTTTGAGGCTCTTTTTTTCTCTAGAGGGCTGGTACTATTTTCTGTGCTGTGGATGACAAATGAATTAGGCTTGAGAAGAGGGCAGCTAGATGCTTTGTCTACATATATGTTTTACTTTATGGTATTTGATCATATGCAATACCACAGATCTTCCTAACAGGAGGAGAGACCATTCAAGTTCCACTGTGAAATCTAGGAAATAAGTGAGCATCTGCCGGGTTGTTACTGGCATTTATATTTCAAGAACGGATATACTTTCAGTTGGGGAAAGTGTACTGGGGTAAGTACAGTAATCCCACAACTTACACATATTTAACTTGCGTGCATTCAGCTTTATATGTGTGGCCAATAATAGTAATTTAAAAAGGTTCTGTAAAAATGGTGTTGGCAAGCCCTCCCACCATTGAGCCCAATGGGTTTTGACCATGCACAATTTTTGCTTTAGGCATGATCCCCATGTAAGTTGCAGGCTTCCTGTACATTTTTCCTGTGTTTCTGTGAATATGGGGTGAATATATACTATTTATTTCAGATCAGTACTGAACAGGGGTACAAATGGATCTGATGTGATCGTTAAAGAATGATACAGTAAGGTTTTGGCCTTCATGACTTAGGACCAGGGTAGCTTGCCTCTATATAGGCACATTAAAATGTTGAGAGACTCCTGAAGTACCGTATTGGCCTGAATATAAACCTCACTTTTTTCCAAATTCCAACTGTGAAAAGTTAAAGTGCAGCTTAAATTCAAGACCTTGCAAAAACTGGCTTTTACTATATCACTGCTGAAACAGACATACAGTAAAATGGAACAGATGTGCCTGTGGAATTTTAATGGAGTGGCTTATATTTGGGATTGTGTTTTTTTGTTTTTTTCCCCTTGAATTTAAAGGTGTGGCTTATATTCAGATGCGGTTTATATTCGGGCCAATACTGTACCTCTGTCTTTTGAGATGCTAGTAATGGCCACAGAGGACATTTTCAGTGGTGGCACTCCAGTGATGGAATATTCTACCCAGAGATGCTCTTTTGGCACATATCATTGTTTTTAAGATACTGGACAAATAACTTTTTTATTTTGCAGAGCTGCTTTGATAAAGCGTTGAACCATTTTCCAGAAGAGTAGCCCTGATAGTCTTTTGCAGCAAAAACAAGCCTTGTGTGACCTTCAAGGACCAATACTGTGCATAAATTATGACAGTGGTTCCCAATTAGCTAAGGACTGTGGACCCCCTCTTTTTTCAAGCCATAGACCCCCTACTTTTGAAAATGTTGATATTTTTGTCATGTGAATGGTGCCACAGAACACAGACCCCCTGGGGTTCCTGGACCACCAAATGGGAACTACTGAATTATGGCAAAAGCTTTTGAGGACTTCCATGCACTTTCTTAGATGCATGAAGTGTTATTCTGAGTTATAGGTGTATATTATACCTGTGGCGGGGAGGAATTGTAAAAAATAGGCTCAGTAGAAAAGTTGTTGTTGTTGTTGTTTAGTCATTTAGTCGTGTCCGACTCTTCATGACCCCATGGACCAGAGCACACATGGCACTCCTGTCTTCCACTGCCTCCTGCAGTTTTGTCAAACTCATGCTGGTAGCTTCAAGAACACTGTCCAACCATCTTGTCCTCAGTCATCCCCTTCTCCTTGTGCCCTCCATCTTTCCCAACATCAGGGTCTTTTCCAGGGAGTCTTCTCTTCTCATGAGGTGGCCAAAGTATTGGAGCCTCAGCTTCACGATCTGTCCTTCCAGTGAGCACTCAGGGCTGATTTCCTTCAGAATGGATTGGTTGGATCTTTCCATGGGACTCTGAAGAATCTCCTCCAGCACCATAATTCAAAAGCATCAATTCTTCGGCGATCAGCCTTCTTTATGGTCCAGCTTTCGCTTCCATACATCACTACTGGGAAAACAATGGCTTTAACTATACGGACCTTTGTTGGCAAGGTGATGTCTCTGCTTTTGACACAACTATGTATTCTAATGATAATTCACAAAACAGCTCTTGGTGAGACACAAATATTAGCTCTGGGTTAGTATTGGCTTCTATTATTTTTGTGGCTTTTTAGCTTATTGTGGCTTTTGCATTTTAATTATCTCCTTAAAAACCACCAGAAGTAAAGGCGGTGAACTGGCGCTCGACTCCGGAGGGCGGATTCCCTTCAGAGCTTCCCGCCCACTCCTCCGCCTTTGGGGCGGCGACTCTCCCCTCAGGCCGCCTCCGCCACACTTAGCGCGCTTCCTCGCCTGTCCGCCTGCGGTGCCTGCGGTCCCTCACAGCAGCCCGGGGAGACTTCGGAGGCGGCGGCGGGAGCTGACCCTTTGCGCCCGCGAGCTCGGTGCTTTTGCCCCGTGAGGCGGCCATGGGGCAGCCGCCGGTCTCGCTGTTGCTGCTGGGCTGCAGCGCCGTGCTGGTGTGTCCCCTGCTCTGCCTTCCCTCGGCGGGAAATGGTAGGTGGCGACGACGGGGCTGTCTCCCGCCAGAGGGGAGCCAAGTTTTGGGTGGTCGCTCGCTGGGAGGAGGAGGAGGAGGAGGAGGAGGAAGGCGGGGAGGCAGCTCAGCCATGTTTCGGAGGACACCATCCCGGGGCTGCTGAGGGGGCGAGAGGGACGCTTCCAGGAAGTCGCGTCCGATTGAATTACAAGTAATCCATACTCGAGTTCCATTGGTGTGAATGGCACACAGCCAATGAAAAGTGGGGGTAAACACTCGGGAAGCGGATGCTGGACTAGGTGGGCCATTGGCCTGATCCTGCGGGGCTGTTCTTAGGGGTCCTTTTCCCGGGGAGCCAAAGGCAGCCCCTCGCTCGGCTCCCGGAGGCGCGCGTGCAATATGTAAAAGTAAATCCTTCTGACAGAACAAAGCTGGCTGCAGGAATGCCTTTGATACTTCGATTCGCCTTATTCTTTCCTGGCTCATGTTACAGGATGCCTGGGTTGTTGACGCCACTGCTGCCAAGTTGCCGGAGATGCGACCCTTTTGATGTGGGTGGGGAGGGGGCTCTTCCTCAAAAGCAGGGGGTGGGATCTTTACCGTCGCCTTTTCTCTCTCTCTCCTCGTCCTATTTATGGTGTTTATTCAGCGCAATCCTGTGGATGCCGTTGAGTTCAATAGGATTTCTTTTACAGGCAAGAATGCGTAGCGTTTGAACACTTGACTGAGTAATAAATGGGGATATGCAACTCTCACAGAACATAAAGTTTTGTTGGTTGTTGGGGAGCACCTCCATAGTTGCGTGGCTACAAAGGAAGGCTTTTAAGTTTTTAGGGTTTCTCTTAGATTGCTTAAATATCGTTAAGGTCAGTGGGAGATGAGCAACCAGTTTTTAGTACATCAGTCCATTGCACCTGTACAGTAAAAAAATAATATGAAACAACCCGGACCCTGCATAGTCCTTTCTCCGCCTGCTTCCTCCATGAAAGGACTGGTGGGCGGAAACAGGAGAACTGGCCTTTTCTGCAGTGGCCCCTGTTTGTGGAATGCTCTCCCCAAGGAGGTTGGCCTGCGCCTTCAATACATATCTTTAGGCACCAAGCAAAAAGCATTTGTCTTCTCCCAAGCATTTGGCTAATTAAACAATCTATGGCCTTTTAAACTGCAGGGGGAATTATTATTTTTGTTTGTTACTATGCTATGCATTTTTGTGTTTTTATATTGTAAACTACCCTGGGATGTCATATATGAAGGGTGGTATGGAAATTTAATGAATAAAATAAATAAAAAGATATGGAATGTGAAAGTTACAGAACCTGAGAGTCATTGTCTGCTTTCTTTCTATGAGTAACTTCTTTCTGAATTGTTATGGTTTATAAACCATGCATGATGTATTTTAATCAGTAAAAGAGATAATTCTTGGCTTAGGAAGTGGTTTTTGATATTTCTGCACATAAGCAAATGGTTGCCTTAACAGATCAAATGTTTGCCATTTGTCTTATGTTTTGACAACTTGAAAAAGTTGTAAGTTCATTGGGGAGATTTTACTGTCTGGATTTACTGCAAAGGAACTTTGTGATCCATTCTCTTTCTTTGTTCTCATAAAGTACAGCAGTGTAGGGGAGAGGGAATTTCGCTGGTTGTTTATTTTCCTCCATTGTTGCTATATTTTTTACATTGCTGACAGATAGACAGTATGTTGACCTAAAACGCTGAGTGAGTCATTTGCTTATCACCATGAACAGAACAGGGAAAATGTGGCTCAAACTGAACATCACCATCAATGTTTTATTATCTATCTAGATGGTTGTTATTTTTTACTTCAAGGTTAGTTTTTTGTTAAACTTATGAGAAAGACAAACTTCATGTGTTAAATTTTAAGTTGCCCCTTTTGGATATCAACTGTGGTTAGTACAAGAAGAAAAAGAGTACAGTGGTACCTTGGTTTAAAAACAGCTTAGTTTATGAACCACTTGGATTAAGAACGCTGCAAATCCGGAAGTATGTGTTTCGGTTTGTGAACTTTGCCTTGGAATAAGAACATGTTTCGCTTCCTGTTGAGTGTGTTCCATTTGTAAATTGAGTCCCCTGCTGCTATGGGAAAGCACACCTTGGTTTAAGAACACTTTGGTTTAAGAACGGACTTCCGGAATGGATTAAGTTTGTAAACTGAGGTATCACTATAACTTCCTATTGTTTCCCTACCACTTGGTTGTCAATCTGCTTGTGCTTCCCATGACAAAAAAATACATGTTGGGTGAACACTTTAAAACTATAAGCGCCAGTCTGTGGCTCTTGTTAACAAGACATTAGTAAGTTTGGGTGTATGCGCAGAAGGGCACAGAGTTAAATTAACAGAAGGACTTGATGGGTATATACCGTATTTTTCGCTCTATAAGACGCACCAGACCATAAGACGCACTTAGTTTTTGGAGAAGGAAAACAAGGAAAAAAGTATTCTGAATCCCAGAAGCCAGAACAGCAAGAGGGATCGCTAAGCAGTGAAAGCAGCAATCCCTCTTGCTGTTCTGGCTTCTGGGATAGCTGCGCAGCCTGCATTCGCTCCATAAGACGCACACACATTTCCCCTTACTTTTTAGGAGGGAAAAAGTGAGTCTTATAGAGCAAAAAATACGGTAATTGTAATTCAATAATGATCAGCTGTCTTAAAATAGACTTTGCAGCTTGAGGATTACGATTCCAACCACTAGGCAACACAACACTATTTGACTTATACTGGCTCTCTTACCTCGTGCCTTGGTCTTCTGCTGGTGAGTGGGACCTACCACCAGGTAAGGGCCTAAATCAAGTTGTGTTGAAGAAGCAACACTACCACCATACAAATGCAGTATAGGGGGGGATTAAGAAACTGGTGCCTAAATGAGTTAAAGGTGGGTCCCAGGTCTGAAAAATTTGAAGACTACTGATCTAGTGTGTTTTCCAAGTTAACTCTGGCTTTGATTTCACATTTGACTTAATTTCAATTGCCCAGTTTGAATACTGTGTTCATGCATTGGACTGGATCATGTTTGGCATAATCATGTCTAGAGCAGACCAATTGAAATCAGTGGGACTTAATATGTGGACTGATTTGTGTACATGTGTGTGTGTGTTTCTGTTATATATATTCACAAACAATATATATCATTTTTTGATTTTTCAGTAAGTAATAACATTAAATAATAAATTACTCCCACACAAACGCAACGGTAATGTGTGTTTTTTTTGTGTGTGTGTGTGAGAGAGAGAGAGAAAGAGAGAGAGAGAGAGAGAGAGAGAGACAGACAGACAGACAGACAGACAGACAGACAGACAGACACTGGATGGCACTTCCAACCAAGTAAAGGTAAAGGTACCCCTGCCCGTACGGGCCAGTCGTGTCCGACTCTAAGGTTGCGTGCTCATCTCGCTCTAGAGGCCGTGAGCCGGCGCCGTCCAAAGATACTTCCGGGCCACGTGGCCAGCGTAGGTGAAAATTAACCTTGGGTTAAGAACTTAATTCGTTCTGTTCTTAACCTGAAACTGTTCTTAACCTGAGATACCACTTTAGCTAATGGGGCCCCGTGCTGGTGCCGTGCAATTTCTGTTCTCATCCTGAAGCAAAGTTCTTAACCCGAGGTTAAGAGGGTTAGTGGAGTCTGTAACCTGAAGCGTCTGTAACCCGAAGTACTAGTGTACTTAATTTGTTTGATAGAAGATGTCCCTTAGTGGCTGGATGTGGTGGATGACTCAGTCTTTCTTCTCTTATGCCTCAACCACAAAAGCTTTGTGCTATAAGCACCACAACTCCGTTCACCTGACCAGCATCTGCAGACTTTGACATTTTATGAAAGATGCTTCTGTACCAAATGCAGTCATGAATAGCAGTCATGGCCTTGGGTCTATCTTCTAACAGCTGTATTTTTGTTAAAGCTGTTGGAACTGTTTACTCACGAGAAGTATTCAGTGACTGTTGGTGTTCTTTAAAGATATCTTTCTTGAGAGATACATCTGGAAGGTTTAATATTGGGAGCAATTGAAAGCAAATGCATTTTAAGTTACAAAATCTGCTTAGGGATGTGTCAATTTCTCATCTTCATTTGGCTCTCCATACTAGGCAGAGACTGTTGTTTATGTTGAGCACAAATAATTAATCATGGTTTTGGAGTAACCTAGTCTGGACTGGGATCGTGTGTCGAATTTGGGCATAAAGTGAAAGGGTGTGTCAAAATAAGTCACAATAGTGCTTTATTTAAAATCAATTTAAGAGATATCTGTGTTGAGGATTAAACTTCAGTAGCAACATTTTTTTTAAGAACTAGATCATGAAAGGTCAGTGTGACATCATGCTTGTTGCACAAACAATAGATATGTGCCACTCTCTATTACGTATCTTTATCCTAACAGCACTCACTTTAGTAAGCCTCCTAAAATCAGTATGTTTAGGAGCATTTGGAACAACTAATGTTTTAGGATATGAAAGCCCTATATGGAGGAAAACCCCACTGAAGTTGATGTTTCCAGCTCTTCTGTTCTTCCTTATTTGTGAATAATGCTGAATGACCAAAGTACAGTCTACAGAATACCGAGTTTGTTTAGCAGTGCAAAAACACTTTGAGGCTGATGAGAAGTCACATGATCTTTGATCCATTCTTTTGTACTGTGAATGCCATTCCAATCAGTAGTCTAAATGATCTTTCCTGTCATGCCTTTTCAGTAGCTTGACAGGCACTGGGTTAGTAGACAGCCTAAAGTATACAACCCCTCGGGAACAAACTTCATCATCAGTTACTTTCCATGTGCTATGGACATTTTATAGTTTTTCACAAATGACATCTTGGATCATCTATCACAGTAGTTCTTTTCTGAAGTCATAAATGATGGGATCCATATTAGTGATGGAGCTGTGGTCACAGTGGAGGAAAGGAGTGAGGTGATGTCTCCTTCCCCCTGTAGCTCCAGGTCCCCTGAAAACTGCTCTAGGGGGCCCCCTTGGACAGAGTGCAGGTGAGGGCTGTGTCCTGCAAAGGCTGTGCGGTTGGGGTCAGAATATATCTGAAATGATTTTTAAAGGACTAATTTCCTGTATAATATACACTTTGTTGTTATTCTTGTTATTACTAATTATTTCTTTATGCATGAAACTGGACACCAAAAACTTGAAAAGAGTTGTTTTGTCTAAGATATAGGTTGGAATTAAAAGATAAGTCATTGTGGGTGACACAATTAGTACCAGGTTTTCTCCAACCTATCTGAAGAAAACCTACAGGCTCAAAGTGCTGTATACTGGAACAACGATGGCCTGTTTTAATTGGGATAGAGAAACAAAATCATTCTGAGTTCTCTTATCATAGCTCTCCAATTCTTTGATGTGATATTGAGCAAGCCTTTCAGAATATAGCCCAATACAACATGGGCTATCAGGTAGATGTTAACCCAGAACGAACATTCTATGTACTGTAATAAGAATTCTGTCTTATCTAAAGAAGGTTTGAAAATCCAATAGGCTATCTTTAGCTTACTGAGGCAAGGGAAAGTCCATGATTTTTGGCAAAGTTTCACTTGATAATCAAGATAAATACTTTTGGAATTTGAATGTTTCTTGCATTGAAACATATATTTAAATAGTCTGGGAAAGTATCTGATGAATATTCAGTGAATAAGAGGGTTTGTAACTGCTGTTGTTAAAATTTCAGAGGTGATGAATAGGAATCCCTGTTTTATATGTTAATGTCATCTTAATAGGTGCAGACAAGATCTATTGTAAATAGCAGAATGTAAATTACTTAAAAGCAGCTATCATAAACACGGGGGGGGGGGAATGAAAAGGTAGTATAGAGGAAGTAACATGCTAATTGTACAAGATATTTGAAAAATGGAAAAGGCAGTGAATATGCCTTTTTCTAGTCCACAAAAGAATTTTACTTCAGAAAAGTATTTTCTGCTAAATGTGTGAGTTACCTAATATGTTTAATAACCATAAACTTCATTTTCTAGACTCTTTCGCTCAGATTGGACCAAAAACCTTTCCCTATTCAACAGAAGAAGAATATGAAAAAATCCCATTGGGAGACGATGACACTGAAAACGATTCAGAAATTGGATCGGGTTCCATCAATGAAAGTATATTCCCTGGAGAAACACGAATGCTGGAGATGTCAAGGAGATCTGGAGGTGTCAAGGAGTACCTGACTAGTGGATGGCTGACCATTTTTGTTCCATCAGTTTATACCCTAGTTGTTGCGCTGAGTCTTCCTCTGAACATCATGGCAATTCTTGTGTTCCTGATAAAAATGAAGGTGAAAAAGCCAGCTGCAGTGTACATGCTCAGCCTGGCTTCTGCTGATGTTCTCTTTGTGAGTGTTCTTCCTTTTAAGATTGTCTACCATTTTTCTGGGAACAATTGGGCATTTGGACCTGAAATGTGTCGTTTTGTCACTGCTGCCTTCTACTGCAACATGTACTGCTCTATCCTGCTGATGATGGTGATAAGCATGGACCGTTTCTTAGCAGTGGTGTACCCAATGCAGTCCCTGTCATGGCGCACACGAAGACGTGCCTTTGTGGTCTGTCTTGCCATCTGGCTTGTAGCAATAGCTGGAGTGATACCTCTGCTAATCAATGAGCAAACCCAAAGAATTCCTCAGTTAAACATTACAACATGTCATGATGTGTTGAAGAAAGATGATCTTAAAGGCTATTACCTTATTTTTTTCACCATTTTCTCTTCTCTTTTCTTTTTTGTGCCATTAATTGTTTCCGCTGTTTGCTATGTGTGTATCATCCGGAGTCTTAGCTCTTCGAATGTCGCTGCGAAGCAGAGCCAGAAAACACGGGCATTATTATTGTCTGTAGCTGTTTTCTCCATTTTTATTATGTGCTTTGGTCCAACCAATGTCCTTTTGTTAATTCACTACATCAGTTTTTCTTACAAAAACTACTTGGGGAATATCTACTTTGCCTATCTCATCTGTGTCTGTACTAGCAGTATAAGTTGCTGCATTGATCCTTTGATCTATTATTACACCTCTTCTGAATGCCAGCGTCACCTTATCAATCTTTTTTGCTGTAAAAAGACCTCTGAATCTTGCAGTACCAGTACCAGTGGCCAGTTAATGACTAGGACCAGCAGAAGGGGTACTTGCACCAGTACACTTGGTAACAGTGTCTACAGGAAGCTATTAACATAGGATTGCAATCAGCTACCGGTAAGTTTTGTTCAAAGTAGACTTACTGAAATTAATGGACCCAAATAGTTACATTCATGAATTTCAGTGAGTCTGTTCTTACTATGAGAAACATTTGCTACAACTCATATTGTTTTGTGGACAAAAGTACATTTTGTGCACTTATTATTAATATAGCTATATATTTAAGCTATTATACTGAAGAATAGCCATATCACATTTTTCACATGATTAACATGTTTGTTAACAGATAACCTGTCATTAAAAAGGATATAGGGTATGGGGAGGGAAGATAAAGACTCAAGAAGGTGTTGAAACAGTGTTTTCCTGTGAAAACTTTACCCAGATATGTACTGCATCCCTATTTGTGTGTGTGTGTGTGTGTGTGTGTGTGTGTGTGTGTGTGAGAGAGAGAGAGAGAGAGAGAGAGAGAGAAAGACAGAGAGAGAGAAAGAGAAGTATTAATCTGATTCTACTGACAATGTTATAAATAGGTCACTTATGGCTGAAAACCTCCAACAACTAAAATCTACAAACTGTTAAACAGACTTCAAATTTTTATGCATTGTTTGCCACATTACAGTAGCCCTCTGAACGAAATCACTGTTTCCATTTACAAATTGGCTTTGGATGCTAAGAGACACTGATTTCATTCAAAGCTGCCTAATGACCTTATGACTAAAGAGATATTTGAGTTTATATATCCCTTTTCTTATTGGTACGCTAATTTCAAGTATTATTTGTATTACAACATTTGATGATTCCTGAAATTAAATGAATCAGTGGTCTTTTTTTAACACTGCTTTTCTAATTTGTAGTATATGATTCGGCCCTCTGAAATGCATTCTGCATATTTCATGATTTTGCTCTACATATTTTGGCTGCCTTAGAAGCTAAAAACCGAAAAAGATTTCCTTAAAAGACAAATGAGTCAATATTTGCAATTTGGTGTTGTCACACAAAGTTCAAGTCATGATAAGCCTTTTTATTGTTCTGTTGTATATAAACAATGGACTTTTGACTCATGATTGAGACCTGTATTGATTGGCTTGCATCCTGACCTTTTGCTCCTTTACAAAGAGACACAGTACTTTATAAAATGGCTGTTTCCATGAGCAGCGTTATCCTTCCATGAATAGAAGCAAAAAGTTATAACTAGCCAGAACTGGTTGCTAGTTGGTGTTACTGTGTACCCATCACAACTAAATACTGAATAGCCTAGTTACATTCTATTAATGTGGTTTAACACGGACTAGATCACACTGTCAACCAAGTAGTTTGGAGTTGTCCAAATATTTGAAGAATCAGAGAAAAGGTATGCTGGCATATTTATTTCAAACTGGTTCTGCTTTAAGTCTTATTCTGAACATGTGTTTCTACTTTTAAAATAGAGTGAAACTCCAATGTGTCCTGTTCAGAATGTATTTTCTACAGGTATTTGCTTTTAGTGGGCACCTCTCCACAGATTCTGTACCTTACTTTTTTCCTAAATTGTGTCATACCTTGATCATGTGTGTGAAATGCATTTAAAAAACAGACTGAGGCGCTGCAACATTATAAAAATCTAATTAACTCGCACTCAGTAATGGGAAAGTACAAGTGAGCCCTGGGACATAAAAATAAATTAAATATTACTTGTCTTCATGTAAATTACTTTTACTTTCATTAGCAGTTGAATTTAGGTTTTTAGCTGATGCATTTCTTCAGCACAGAAACTGTAAGTTTCTACTCTAGAATCCCATAGGGTTTCTAATGTAACAAAAAAGTAAAGTGTTGCATCTAGTGAGAGCAAAAGCACTCCAATAGAGGCATCCATTAATGCAAGAGGCAAGGGGACACTTTTTGCCCTTTCTCCCTCCCTTCTGTTTTCATAATTATGAAAAACCTACTCTGGATGTTCTCCCAAACCTTCAGAACAGATTTTTGGGTGGTGCCGGAGGCTGTGAAAATCAGCAAAATTTGCATCCCTTCCTCTTCCGTCAACAGTTGCCTCTGCTGGAGCAACATCTAAACATTCTAAACATACATTTTGTTTAAGTGTAGATAATATAATTACCAAATGGGAGAAGTAAAGCTACTACTTATCTACTCAAAAGTAAGTCCTATTGATTTCAATTGCCATTGCTCTTAAACAAGTAGATATAGGCTTGTATCCTGAAACTCAGAATCTGAAGCAGCATTTTAAAACTGAGAAGAAGTGTCTGCTAATCTGTCAGCAGGTATTTTCAGCATTCTAACTATTTTATTTGAGATGTATTGCATTACTGTATTGTTTTCCATTTTTGTGTGTGAAAAGATATAAAAGGGTATTTAGCTGGGTTTGATATAGGAGGAAATACCTGTTATAGGAAGAATATTAACGGTTGTGACCAATTAGGTTATACTCTGAGTGTACACATTGAAAATAGTGAACCTAAGTTCTTCATGTCCATTATTTTCAATGGGTCTACTCTGAGCTGGACTGACATTGGATATGACCCAGTATTGACTTCTATTTTCTTCCTGGGTCAAATCCCTATCAAAATACATTTAATGTAAAGTAATTTAACCATACATTTTTAATTTTATTGATGTACAAACATAAGTAAAATGTGTAAATATTTCATAATTTTTGGAAGTTATATTATTATATATTCATATTAACCAAATAAATTATGGTATTTGCTTTCTTAAAACTATAATGTTGATAGACAGATGTTTATTATTATGTTTGAAAATTGAGTTAACCTGCAGCAATAATAAACTTTTTATCTGCTTCATTTGTTGTGTGTTCATACCTATGCCATGATACAAGTTTGTCATACATGGTATCCAGTCTGATATATTTTCACTTAAAAATTGCTGCTCTGAAACATGTAAACCTTGAATATTCCAAAAAGCTTCAGTCAGGTTGCTTAAAACCCACAGCAACAAAGATAATATTTTAAAATGTTAGAAACAAGTAACTGTAGCAGTTTGTAGGAATCATCCATTTTTGGTCTTGCATTATTGTTCAGTGACAGTAAAGCTAAACTACAATGAAGGGGCAATCTGTGGTCTTTGTGGTGTCTATGGTACAGGAACTGAAAAAAGTATGGTAGTTTGGCAGCATGTCAGGCCAGTCAAGGTTCTTCAGGCCCCCAGGCAAAAGCTGCACCTAAGGCATGGCATAGTTCATTCCTTTAAATTGGAGGTGAGTTGCCTTGGCCTGCCCTAGCTGATACAGTTTAGGAAATAGTGGTAACACCACCATGAATCTCTCTCTGCTGTAGGATCGCTCTGCTCCAAAATGCTGAATCCATAGACAACAGAAAGGTTATCCAATACTGCTACTATATGTGTGCTTTTTAAAAATATCACTTCCATTGCACGCCTACTTCATAGGCTAGAGCATCTGATTTGTATGCAGAAGCTCCCAGGTGGTCCAGTCCCTGGCATCTCCAGGTAGGGCTGGAAATCTCCCCTGATTGAAACCCAGAAGAGCCATTCAGTTTCGGATCACAAACCAAGGCAGTTTCACATAGCTAGCGAGTGATAAGCCAAGCTGTTAACATGATGAACGGTGCTGCACTGCTGTGGGGAAGAAGCCCCTCTTGAGATGACTATCCTGTAAGATCTGGGCTCTTTCCATCTGAATTCAGGTGTAAATATGCGAATAGGTCATATTTCTTAAAGGTATGACAGCCTCCACCACATCTTGATTTGCAAAGGAACCCAGACCGTGAGTGAGCACTTGGATCTCCCAAGAATCTTTCTACAGCTCAGCAGAGATGGCACCCAACCTCTGTAACACTATGCTTCTCTCCATGTGTTTGTGTCTAGTACCTGTTTTGTTATTCCAATGTGCCTCCATGAGTTGGGCAAGATAGTGGGTCAGGATCATGAACTGACCTTTGAGCTTCTTTATAACCATCCCAGATAAAACGCTCTTGTAATCTTTCAAGGGTTTTACTTAATTGCAGCCTTTGTTGAATCCTGTAAGTATTTGCAGTTATTTTATACCTGGACTGCAAAAAGTTCCAGAATGTGTATGTGTGGCAGTGTTGGGACATATAAGCATCTCATTATATGAGTATCAATGTGGACCAAGAGAACTGCTTTATGAAACAGCCCTAACTTTTCCAAGTTGATATATCCCATTTGACTCATAATCTGTGTCCGTATCAGCTTTGTTAAAAAGGAAGCTCTGTTTCCCATGATTCATTGTTATAGAGATGTGAAAATGGCTAAACCCCGCCCTCATTTTTACTGATGTGGATGAAATTTACGGGAACAGGAGTTTCTCCAGAGTGGATTAAGCCTGCCAAATTGCAGGCAGATATCTCGCAATGCAGGAACCCTTAAGTTGTACAAATATTGTTTCAGTTACAGGAAGTCATACTTTTCTCTTTTCCATTATTGTTTGTACAGTGTTTATAAAGAAGTCTGTTTGCCTCAGTAAATTTTTTCTTTTTTACTGTGAATTTTGACTGCGTTTTGACTTAGCTGTATGACATATCTATCATCTATCTATCTATCATCTATATCTATTTATCTCTTTCACTGCCAGGAGATGAAACCTGCTAGATTTAAAACTGATAGTCATAGTGATTCTTCCACAAGGGCAAAAGTGAACATTTCTGGGTGAATAAAATGTTTGTTAATCCTTCCCGTCTATTGTTTTTTATACAGTTGGTCTGAAAATTTGTAGACATCTGAGAAGAGGAAAAGGGGATAACACTGCAAAAATACACAATATCAAATGGAAATAAAGGATACTAACAGGAATGAAAAGGAACTCTCACTCACCAGCCGTTCAACTAAAGGGGGAAGGCAGAAGGGGGATAACTCTTGAACACAAAAATGTGGCACAAACAAACTCAAAACATAAAAATACAATAAATAAAAGTGGCAAGGTGTATTGTCTATAAAGTTACAACAGAAAGTGATTGGAAAGGGTCAAATTAGTAGGCAATGCACTACCTAAAAACAACAAAATCCACCTATTTCAAAGTAGGCTTGCCATAGATCAGGAAAATTGGTGTTGGGGGAATTTTGCTGAATCTGCAAAATGACAAGAGGAAACCCAGATGTATGGCAACCAGGTGGGAAAAGCAGTGGTTCGGTTTTCCCAAAAAAGCTTAACAATTTTGGTGGGTTTCTTTGAAAAAAGCTCAGGAATTTTACTTTTTGAAATACGGCAACCCTATTTCAGATTAATCCCACAGGACAGTATTAGGAGGCTGGTTACCCTACAGAATCCTTTCCAAAGTGGACTGTTGATGGTAGATGACCAAGGGAGCTGGGTTGGCATTACTATGGCAAAATCATGTCCTAGCATGGTCACATTATTTTGACTTGCACCTTTTACCATTTTCATAAACACCTGAAAGCATGGGGAGGGGTGCCAGTGTCCTTCAAGCAAGAAGTGCACCCAGCCAAGTGAAAAAGCAAGCATCAATTCCATTATTCTATCTATTCCCCTGGAGGTGCCACTTTCACAATGGCCAAACCTGATCAGAAGTTGTTTTACTTGTCTCAAATAGGGAAAAGCAATAGTACTGTTCAAACATTTATCTGAGCACATGGACAGGATAACAACTCCATCACTACAGAATCAGTACTGAAGGACTCTGCAGATGCAAACTTGTGTACAGAGACTAAAATGAATCAGAGGTTTCCCAAACAATTTGGACAGAGCCAACACGTGAAGATACCAGTGGCTCCAAGCAGACACACTCCTGCTCCCTTTCTGCATCTTGCTACCGCCAATATTAGCAAGAGTGCTGTATTTGTAGATCCATGGAGACCTCAACCCTGGCCAGGCACCTAGCTTTGACTGCAATTGTGCTCTTTGACCACCAGAGGCTCCCCTAGCTTCAGTAGATCTGAGCTCTGCTCTCTGAATGGCAACTGTTGTGGAACAACAGTGCGAGAGGACTTGTCCTCAATGATGTGCTGTTTCTAAGCTTCTCAGGCACTAGCTGACCAAATGGGGAACAAGAGTCTAGACTAGATGTGCTTTTCTCCAGATCCAGCTGGGTAATGTTGTAATGCCCAACTTCAGCAAGGTACTTGTAGCCTGTGTTCTCAGCTCAAATCATGGGACAATCTCCTAACACTTCTAAACACATCTGGCTTTACCTTTTGCTTGTTCTCACAGTGACAATGGACTCTGGAATGGTGTAATAGCATCAAAAGTGAAATGGAGTGGATAATTTGTCGCATAGCTTCGAACGGATGCTCAGCCATGAATTATCCTGGAAGTCACAATCCCATCACAAGAGTTATTGTGATGAGAAAAGAGACTAATAGTAAAGCACTTCATGCACTTACAGGTACTCAAGATAGGGAAAAGGGATACATTCTGTTCATTAATGAGGTTTAATTGTCCGTCACACCCTGAAAATGGAAACGTTCATTACCAACCAAACGCATCAGTATCCATTACATGGGTCATAATGTGATTTTCAGAAATATTTTGTTTTTCAGAAAGCATCTTTTGAGAACAAACATGAAAGATGCCAAACCATGTAGATAATTCCTCCTATTAATATGATGACTCTCGTTACTCTCATGAAAGCAGTCTTTTATGAAGCTTTGAAAAGCAGCTAGGAGGGAGAAATAAAAAGCCCATTCCTCCCTCTTCCTTAGTCCTGTCTCTTTGAAGGTTGCTTTTCTGACAGTAGGGGGTTAGCTCTGGGTCTCCAATTGCTTTAAGCTAATATTCAAGCCCAAATTGGTTGAAAAGATGAAGAGTGGAATTTGATCTCAGAGAACTTAATGGGTCAGGAGAACATGCCTTTCAGATAAATCCTTGCAGCCCTTTTTTAGAAACCTGGCAGCAAAAGCTGAGGTGTGCCTCTGGAGGAATAATGGGCCGAACTCTGAAGATACTTTCTCTGCTTAATATACTCTGCACCTTACATAGCACAGTAAGAGCAAACAGTAAGTACCCTTACCATGGTTTGTGAATGATTTAACATGCTTTAATTTGCACAAGGCAAGCAGAAGGGTGGGGGGCGGTCTACTTATTTATGATGCTCTTCTCTACTTGGCTGGCATTCCATCTTGCCTTAAGCGTTGTGTGATGCCCAATTTTGTGTGACAGGAAGAGTAAGGCCCCTTCCATGAGTGGAAGTCCATTCTGCCGGCATGCATTACCGTTGAAAAGGGCAATCAAAATGATCCAGGGAATGGAGCAAATCCCCTATAAAGAAAGACAGGAGGATTTTCGGACCATTCAGTTTGAAAAGGCACATGAGAGGTGACATGATAGAATATTATTAAAAAATTATGCCCGGCACGGAGAAAGTGAATAGAGAAAAGTCTTTCACCATCTTTACTCTAGAACTCATGGGCATCCAATGAAGTTGCATGCTGGAAGATTCAGGACAGGCAAAAGAAAATACTTCTTTCCACAGTGCATGGTTAAACTAGGGAACTCAGTTCCACAGGAGGCAGTAATGGCCACCAACCTAGGGGGCTTTAAAAGAAGATTGGACAAATTCATGGAGGAGAGCAGTAGTCTAAACCACTGAGCCTCTTGGGCTTGCCAATCAGAAGGTCGGCAGTTCGAATCTGCGTGATGGGGTGAGCTCCCTTTGCTCTGTCCCAGCTTCTGCCAACCTAGCAGTCCTAAAGCATACCAGTGCAAGTAGATAAATAGGTACCGCTCCGGCAGGAAGGTAAACGGTGTTTCCGTGCGCTCTGGCTTCCATCAAGGTTTTCCATTGCGCCAGAAGTGGTTTAGTCATGCTGGCCACATGAGCCGGAAAGATGTCTGTGGACAAACGCCGGCTTCCTCAGCCTGAAAGCAAGATGAGCACCACAACCCCATAGTCACCTTTGACTGGACTTAACTGTCCAGGGGTCCTTTACCTTTACTATTTTTTAATTAGTCACGTATCACTCGAAGGTGTTCCAGCAGCTTACATTAAAGCAAAACGTGCACATCCACACTACCATAGGATGAGGAAAGAGGGGGCAATCATATAATACAGTAATCTTTCATATAATCTACAAGTGATAGAATAACAACACAATAGCCCCATAAACAGCAGCAAACAACATTAGCAGTACTCAAACAATAAGCAAAGCAATACTCCCATCCACTAATGAGCAGATAAATCAAACCTCAACCCCCCTCCCTAGTCCAAAAACCATTCATATCAAACCAGCAGTTCCCCCCTTAATCTCCCCACCACACCTAGAAGTCTGTCATCAGGCCAGCAGCTGCAAATCTGCAGCGGGTGGGTCCAACATCCTCCGGGGGGGGGGGGTCCATCATTTCTCCCTTCTCTTCAGAGCGGGGGGGGGGGAGTAGCAGCAAAGGGAGATGATGGCAAAAGTTTTACCTGCTTTGCCATTGTCCCAGCTTCTACTGCTCCTCTCTTGCTGCTGTTAATGCTGTTTCCAGCCATGATGGCTATGCGCTGCCTCCACAGCTGGAGACAGAAATGCTTCTAAACCCAGTTGCTGGAACAATAGGAGGGGAGAGTGCTTTCTTCTTGAATCTTGCTTATGAGTTTCCCACACGCTTCTAGGATGCCACTGTGAGATCAGGGTGCTAGGCTAGATGGCCATTCCTGATCTAGCAGACCCTTCTTATATTCTTATTGGATGGTAGTGCTATTTTTCTAGAAAAAGAGGTGTCAGGACTCCCCACGAACACCCCCTTGTTCTCTTATAATGGCAATGGCATCCACCTGCGAGGTGTCGGAACTGATGTCCGGTGAGTTCCAGCTGGGGGAAGAAGGCCCTGAATAGCACCAATTGTGCTTAAAGAGAATATTCTTCTATTAGGAAGACAAGCTTTGGGGTTTTGTTTTGTTTTTTTCAAATATATGTGCATTACATTAGATATTTAGGTTTTGATTTAAAAGGAATTCCATCCCCAAATCAGTTAGAGTGCATCTAAATCATTTTTAGGTTTTGCATGCCCCATCTCTGAAATTTGTGTGATTTCTGTTGTGCAGTGAAATTTGTATTGTTTTATCGTTTTTATGCTCATTTGACATTCTTTAAGCGACGAATGCAAAATGTGCCTCCTTAAAGAGGCATAAGCTTTCTAGCAGCTCCTTGGGAGCGCTTTTGACTGACCTGTGCTCTGTGGACTCTTGATAGCTTTTAACATACGGTATTTGCAGCACACTCTCTACTGTTCTGTTATAGAATAGGAGCAGAAAGGGGGACATATTGAGAAGGAAATAACTGATTTGTAGTAGAGAGACCTCCAAAGTAATAAAGTGTTTCAGCATAAAATAAAAAAGGAAGGAAGGGGTTTCAACATTATTTGTATTAGCACAGACCCCTCCTGGAACTTTACAGTGAAAGGGAAGGGATCACAAATCAAAATTAAGAACAACAATCCTAATAATCCAGATTGGACAATACAAATCTGTAATTTAGTAGTCTGAATTTATATTCTGATGAAGAGAGTAATACTGAATGTTATGCTGGTGTTGACATAATTGATTTTATATTGCTTCTCCTTTCAGATTCATCCTTAGAGACGGCTACGAGCCTCTTGCCAATTTTAGTCAGTCCTTCTACACATGAGAATGAGTTGGACATCCACAGTCAAAACACAGAGTCCATTCACCTCTCAGAGGACATTGAAACAATCATAACTAGTCCATGGGTAACTTGGTTTGTTCCTTCACTCCACATTATTGTTGTTATGTTCAGTCTGCCTTTAAACATTATGGCAATCCTTGTGTTTGTGGTCAAAATAAGGCTTAAGAAGCCAGCTACAGTGTACATGCTCAACCTGGCTTTTGCCGACGTCCTCTTTGTGTCTGTGCTTCCTTTTAAGATCATCTACCACTTTTCTGGAAACAATTGGACATTTGGACCGGAAATGTGTCGTTTCATCACATCTGCCTTTCACTGCAACATGTACTGCTCCATCCTGCTGATGGTGACCATAAGCGTTGACCGTTTCATGGCAGTGGTGTACCCAATGCAGTCTCTGTCATGGCGCACACCAAGACGGGCCGCTTTGATCTGCTTTGCCATCTGGATTATAGCCATAGCTGGAGTGATTCCTCTGCTTCTCAAGGAGCAAACAGAAAGATTCCCTCGCTTAAACATTACCACCTGTCTTGACTCACTAGCTGTCTCTACAGTTAAGACATTTTATCGTTACTTTTCTGTAGTAACTATTTTGTTCTTTTATATACCATTACTAATTTCTGGTACCTGTTATGTGTGCATTATAAAGAAACTTTCTTCATCCAATGTTGCTACAAAGCCAGGTAAAAAGAGACGTGCCATTCTCCTGTCTGTAGCTGTCTTGTCCTCTTTTATTATTTGTTTTGGTCCAACAAATGTCACGTTTATGCTGCAAATCTTCAGCCTTTTGCCTGAACAGCAGGTTGCAAATCTCTTGTTTGCATGCACGCTTGCCACTTGTATCACTACCATAAGCAGTTGCATTGACCCCTTGATTTATTATTATGCCTCTTCAGAGTGTCAAAGGCAGGTCTGGCGTCTCCTTTGCTATAGAAAGCATTCTGATCTGGAAAGGAGCATTCAGTTTTCAAGCAGTAATATGGAAACCTCATGAATATAGCTTTTAATCATTTGCCCAGAGCAGGGGTCGGCAAACTACGGCCCGGGAGTCGGATGCGGCCCCCCAGGCTCACAAATCCAGCCTGCGGACCCTGCCACCACTCAGTCAGTCCCTGCACACTGCGGATGCCTCACCGCACAAGGACTGACTTCCGTGGTGCTGGCACGGCTTCTGGGTGGGCGATGATGCTGGTGCGGCTTCGGATTGGCCGCAGGAAGCTCCTGCAGCCAATCCGAAGCTGTGACGTTTGGATTTGTGTGCAGGGGAGGCGACGGCACGGAGCAGAGCAGAGGCGGTGCTGCTGCCCCCAGCACCTGAGCGGGGCTTTCCCCATGGCGACAGTGCGCACTTGGCAAGGGCCCCTGGCTTCCTGTCGGCCTCCTCTGACACCTCTTCCTCCTCTTCTGCCATTGCTGCTCTTGCTGCTGCTGCTTCTCCTCCTCCCCGACACTGCTGCACCGGCCGTGGCCCCTTTCCAGGCGTGCGGGATACAGTGGTACCTCAGGTTAAGTACTTTATTCGTTCTGGAGGTCCGTTCTTAACCTGAAACTGTTCTTAACCTGAAGCACCACTTTAGCTAATGGGGCCTCCTGCTGCTGCCACGCCGCCGGAGCACGATTTCTGTTCTCATCCTGAAGCAAAGTTCTTAACCTGAAGCACTATTTCTGGGTTAGTGGAGTCTGTAACCTGAAGCGTATTTAACCTGAAGCATAGGTAACCTGAGGTACCACTGTATGAGGAAGAAAGAGGCGCCGCCACCATTGCAGGTAACCAGGCTTGGGCTATTCTCCACCTCCCCGCGGCGAAGCAGAGCATGCAAACCAGAGGGGATGATCGTTGCAAGAAGATTTGTGCACGCACACAGAGACCTTGCCACAATATTGTTGTGACCGTTGCATAGTGCGTACTTACCCAGGAGTTGTTACGCTCTGGTGGGATGTGATGTCAACTTAACTTTTACACAGAGGGCAGGCCCGCTGGAATGAATGGACCCGGGCTGGGCATGGCCACTCACGTCAACGGGTCTACCCTTGGGTAAAAAATAGAGACTGCCGCGTAAATATGCTTTTTAAAAAAGCTGCAGTCCAGCCCCCGACAGTGTTTGAGGGACAGTGAACCGGCTCCCTGTTTAAAAAGTTTGAGGACCCCTGATCCAGAGCATAGCATTTTATCTTATTAGTTTATTAATTGCCTTTTGTATAAATCTCAAGGTGGTTTGCAACTACACAGTTATATCTGATGTAATGTACTCATTCATAAAATTGGGTTTTGCATGTCACAAGTTTTGCATGGTTCAAAGCCTTTGATGTCTATGTATTTATTTCTATAGGATAGTCTCTAGAGCATTTAAACATGTCTGAATCGGATGCCAGAGACTAGACTGACTCTAAGGGTGAAGGAATGCAGGCACAGACAGAGCAGCCTCTGACAAAGGAGCAAGGGGAAGATTCGCACCCCGCCTTACACATTCCCAGAATCAGAGAGACCAGCAGATTCAGAAGCTGCTCAGTCGGGGGAAGAGCTGCACAGTTTTAAGATAGTAGCTAGGCAACCAGGAGGGAGGGAGCCTTTAGGACATTCTTCAATAGAGAGTGTTGGGGAAGTCCCTCCCTCCCCTAGAGAGCCAGTGTGGTGTAGTGGTTAAGAGCGGTAGTCTCCTAATCTGGGGAACCGGGTTCGCGTCTCCGCTCCTCCACATGCAGCTGCTGGGTGACCTAGGGCCAGTCACACTTCTTTGAAGTCTCTCAGCCCCACTCACCTCACAGAGTGTTTGTTGTGGGGGAGGAAGGGAAAGGAGAATGTTAGCCGCTTTGAGACTCCTGAAGGGGAGTGAAAGGCAGGATATCAAATCCAAACTCTTCTTCTTCTTCCTAGAACTCAGAGGACTGAAAGGGTCCAGGAACAATGGAAGCACAAGGGAGGGACAGGTGGCCCGTGGCGTGCTTCTTGCTGCAGAAGGGGAGGGGACTTAGAGTGAGCAACTGCCATCCATGAAGGGAAACAGCTTGGTGCTGCTCTCAGTATGTTGTTGTAAATAAAATGGACTATAAACCTGCCAAAGGCTCGTTATTTCTTATCGGAAGCTACCGGTCAGAAGGGGAAGCTCCATTGCTTGCCAGCATACCTGACAAAATACTTCGCACTGCCTATGGCGTTGGATAACTGCTCTTATGAAATGGGGGCAAGACATTATGCCTCTTTGAAAATGACATATTGAGATGGGAGTATTATTAGTAAGGCACCTGGTTTGAATAGTAGAAGACCCAATGGCAAGTTTACCGAGGGTATTGGAGAAGATTTATGAATTTGGTCAAGTAGCAGAATTTAAGCTGAATAAGAGTAAAATGAAAATGCTGGTGAAAAATATGACAGAGCATCATCCAAAAAGGTCTACAAAATATTACAGAGTTGACAATAGATAAAAAGTTAAGTATTTAGGAGTTTGGTTGATAGCAAATAATATTAATGTTTATAAGGATAATTATTTATCTACTTGAAAAGAAGTAAAGAGAAATCTGGAGGTTTGGGAAGGATGAATTTATCATTTTGGGTGAGGATATCTGTGGTAAAAATGAATGTATTGCCAAGAATGTTGTTTTTGTTTCAATCAGTACCCACGATCAGCAGGGCAGGACACTTCAAGGAATGGCAAAGAGATATTTCAAAATTTATCTGGCAGGGGAAGAAGCCAAGAATAAAGCATAAATTATTAATAGATTCTAAAGACAGAGACAGCTTTTCCCTGCCAGATTAAAGGTTATATTATGAGGTGTCCTGTCTTTGCTGGCTCTGAGAATGGATAAGATTACAAAATACAGATATTTTAGATTTGGAGGGTCACGATGACAGATTTGGTTGACATGCGTATCTATGGTATGAAAAAGTTAAAGTACACAGAGGATTTCCGAACCATCTAGCGAAAAAGTCACTATATGTGGTATGGGAGAAATACCAAAAATTGTTAGAGCAGAAAACACCATGGTGGTTCTTAAAAGCTATTTTTGAGGAAAAAAATTGAATATGAGAAAGGGCTGGGCAACATATAAGGAAATAATAATAATAATAATAATAATAATAATAATAATAATAATTTATTTATACCCCGCCCACCTGGGTGGCTTCCAACAAAATACTAAAATATTAAAATACAATAATTCATCAAATATTAAAAGCTTCCCTAAACAGGGCTGCCTTCAGATGTCTTCTAAAAGTCAGATAGTTTTTTTATTTCTTTGACATCTGATGGGAGGGCATTCCACAGGGCGGGTGCCACTACCGGAAGGCCCTCTGCCTGGTTCCCTGTAACTTGACTTCTCACAGTGAGGGAACCTCCAGAAGGCCCTCGGCACTGGACCTCAGTGTCCAGGTAGAACAATGGGAGTGGAAAAGCTCCTTCAGGTATACCGGACTGAGGCTGCTCCGATGGGAAGGGAGGCATTGCACTCTCGGCCCTCCTTCTCTACCTTCCATGCCTGACCCACCATGCACCGCTTCTCTACCACTACCACTACCGAAGAACCAACAACTCAGGGGCTGCCCAGGCTCATGCTGTAGCATCAACGTCCCGAATGTGTTTTTTTTATTTATTTATTTATTGCGTCCCTGGATTCATTGAAAAAAATCTGGTAACCTTATTTTAAATATCCCATTTAGTCCGCAAACATTGCTTTCCCATTTCTACTCTTCTCTCAGTGAATAGACCACACCATTTAGTAAGTTTAAATGCTTTACTTACAAAACTCCAAAGGTCAGATTCATGTGTTATTCCATGCAACAGCAAGAAAAACACAGGTAGAAATCTTGGGATACAAGATATAGTGAAATAGCACTAATGTCAGGAGCTGGCCGGCTGCCGGCTTGAGAAACAGCACGCAAGAAGTAATTTAACAAAAAAATTATTGCTTACAAGCAGTTAGCCTCTGACCGCTCTCTCCGAGCAACCATACATCACAATCAAATTGACCCTTCTGAAGAACCCTTCCGGCTCTTGCAGAATATCCTGAACCTCTGACCCTTACATTTCAGGGGTCATCTTCTGTCTTGGACTTTCTCCATTCGTCTATCCCTGGGACTGATGGGGTCAGCTACCTCCCCTTCCAGAGAGGAACTGCACTCCCTCCCTTGTGCTGTGAGTGACTGTGATTCCTGAGAAAGCTGGCTTCCCTCCAGCCCGCCTCCCCTGAGCTGATAAGCTGCATTCCTGCCAGCTTCAGAGGGGGAAGTTGTCAGCCCACTGGTTCCAGCTGTCTGAGAAGTCTGCAAGTCTCTCTGTTCTTCTTCTGCCTGTCTGCCTGCCTTCTATCTCAGGCTGTACTTCTTGCCTTTGGGCTGGTGTGTTCATGACATCTAAACATATGGTCTGAGCTTGTAGCAAGCGAGTTCAAGCACATCCTATTGCAGTGAGTTCACATGGTGAAAGAGAACAAATAAGGAGGAAGCTTAACTTCCTCCCAGGGGAGGGGCATAACCTGAGTCTAGGAATGCATTTCTGTAGTCTTAACCCCTTCATGCATTCATGAACTCCATGCTTGCTAGTTATATTTGACTGCAATTCACCACAAATGTCACCTCCAAATGTCACTTCCCCACAAATGTGAAGGAGTGGACTATGTCTACTTTTCTCTTTCTGAAGGAACATCACCTACTGGAGCCTATTTTGTAGCCTCTGGCCCCAACCACCACTACACCAGAAAAAAAGAGTGTGTGACCTGTGGCTTGAGAAGGGTCCCCTATCCCTGATTTCAGCTAACATCATGGGCATAGCCAGAGGGGGGACAGCTCAAGTAAATAAATAAAGAGACTTAACTAACTGACTATCATGTCACAGATAGCATGGTTCTAACAAATGTCCTTTCCCCCCACCAGCAAAAATCCTGGCTACGCCCACGGCTAACATTCATTCAGGTCTAAAGTGGATTAATAGTCAAGCACTTTATCCACTGAGAAAATATATAAGAAATTGAAAAATGATCTGTTAATGTTATTTAGGAGTCCTAAATCTTCTTTTTTTGCTGAAAATGGATAAATGGAAAACCACAACAATTGCTTCTATATCAATTACTTGCCTCATAATGCGATTCCCAGAAATTATTTGCTTTTAGGAAGCATCTTTTAGAAAAGTAAAGAGAACAGAAGAGTTGCCTGAGAGTTTTCATGTAGCGCTTTGGGAATTGGGCAGAAGAAAGAGATTAAAAAACCCCTCTGCTGCTTCTAGGATGATGCAATGTGATGACAGTTGGGGTTGACTCTGCCCCTTCTGTTGATGTATGGCAACATTCAAGCCCAAACTGGACAAGGAGATGACAGCTGGATTTAGATCTCAGTGAGGGTTCTGTATTCTGAGGCAAAATAAGCTGATTTTCAGGGAAATCCTTGCAATTTCTTCTAGGCAGAACCAAAGATGAGGTGCACCTCTGAGGCAGAAACAGGCGCTTCCCTCAAGATCTTCTTTTCTCTGCTCAGTATAGTCTCCACCATATTTAGCACGGCAAGTGCAAACAGTAAGTACAACCCAACATCCTTTCTCCACAATTTAATATTTAAAGCAATGTGTTTATATTGTGCAATTGTTTCAGGGAACATTCACTTTCTCTTACTTTTCCAAATGATTGTGATATGAAGGAAGAACCAAGTTGAAGGGTTTTAAAAGAGGAGGGAGAATATCCTTGTAATATGGGGAGAAATCTGCTTTGCAGTGGTTATATCCAAATATTTTTAATATTCAGTTTATCAGACACATAAAAAGTCTCCAAGTGACTTGCATCATTTAAAAACAAAACAAAAATAATAAAATATAATGATTGGTTTCACTGAACTGTATTCCAGTTCATACCTCAGCTTAATCGGGGCTTCTGTTTTCAATTTGAATGGAATCTAGTTTGAGGGAATGCACATTGAATGAGGGTATTTCTCATGAAGCAATGGGATACAGATGGATTGTAGCTTTGTAGCTAACATCCTGTGTACCTGGCTTCAAACACTGATGGTGAAAGAACACTGGAGCAGGAATAAACAGTAATGTGTACACAGCCTAAAAGCAGGAAAAGCCTAGTCACAAGTCTAAGACAGGGAATGCATGGCCCTCCATATGCTGTTGGGCTATAAAGCATTAAAGGGTGATCCCCTATCCTCCAGATTACAGCAGTATCTGGATGGCCAAAGGTTCCTCAGCCTTTGTTTAAAGGTTATTATCTCACATTTTCATGTAAAACCATACACTGAAGTTTCTCATTTGGAATAGGGAAAGCCAGGGAGAAGGGATAGCAATGTAAATCTTGTCCACACCAGTAATTTTTTAAATACTTTGGTACATCGGTACATCTGGTTACGAACTTAATTCTTTCTGGAGGTGCGTTCTTAACCTGAAACCATTCTTAACCTGAGGTACCACTTTAGCTAATGGGGTCTCCCACTGCCGCCGCACAATTTCTGTTCTCATCCTGGGGCAAAGTTTTTAATCCAAGGTACTACTTCTGGGTTAGCGGAGTCTGTAATCCAAAGTGTTTGTAACCCGAGATACCACTGTACCCTATTAAGTATAGCCAAATCTATAACTTCATTTGAATTAATATTCTCATAAGTAAACCAGAGTTGTTGTACTGACTTCTGTAACATTGTTAATATGGCCATTTATATTTCTGATTTACATATTGCAGATTCCACACCTACCATTCTTCGTTTTGCTTTCCCTGTATTTTATAATCCTGATGTAAACAACTCCAGTCAATCCACAAAGCATGCGAATACCACAGAAGATGGTGAAAAATACTTGACTGGTCCATGGATGACTCGTTTTGTTCCTTCACTCCACACTGCTGTGGTTATTTTCAGCCTTCCTTTAAACATTATGGCAGTTCTCATGTTTGTGGTCAAATTAAGGCTTAAGAAACCAGCTGTGGTGTACATGCTCAACCTGGCTTCTGCAGATGTCCTCTTCGTGAGTGTGCTTCCTTTTAAAATTGTCTACAACTTTTCTGGAAACAACTGGATCTTTGGGTCTGTGATGTGTCGATTCGTCACTGCTGCCTTCTACTGCAACATGTATTGCTCCATCCTGCTGATGATGGTGATAAGCGTGGACCGTTTCCTGGCCGTGGTGTACCCAATGCAGTCCCTGTCCTGGCGCACAGCAAGACGGGCCTCGTTGGTCTGCTTTCTCATCTGGCTTCTGGCTATAGCTGGGGTGATACCTCTGATTGTCAGTGAGCAAACACAGAGATTATCCCGGTTAAATATTACGACCTGTCACGATACATTAGACATCTCTGTTATTATGGATATATTTCGGCATTACTTTTCTGCATTATCTATTTTGTTCTTTTTTATACCGTTATTAATCTCTGTCATCTGTTATGTGTGCATTATAAGGAAACTTTCTTCATCCAGTGTTGCTACAAAGACTGCTAAAAAGAGACGTGCCATTCTCCTGTCTGTAGCAGTCTTGTCTTCTTTTATTATTTGTTTTGGTCCTCCAAACTTCCTATTACTAATGCACAGCTTGCACATCTTACCTGATCAACCCCTTGAAAGTCTGTATTTTGCCTACATCTTAGCCGTCTGCACTGGTACCATAAACTGCTGCATTGATCCCTTAATTTATTATTATGCTTCTGCAAAGTGTCAAAAGCAGGTGTGGGATCTCCTGTGCTATAAGAAGCATTCTGCTTTTGCACAAAGCAGTCAGACAACAAGCAGCAATGCCACTAACCTTTTAAGCGGCTCGAATAATTTGTCTCAAGCATAGCATCTTACATTAAATATGTTTGCAGTACAGTAATACTCATTTGGAAACCTAGTTGTTGCATGCTACCTATTTTACAGCCTCTGTCTTTAGCGTCCATGCATTCTTTCTCTAGAATATTTATGCTTTTTCTTATATTCCAAGAAAAAGTTATCAGACTATGGTTTTTCTGCAGCTGCTGTTAAAATAATGTCTGTCTAGAGATGTGATTTGCTCCAATGGTGACTGTATAGAAATAAATATTATGTATTGTTGTCTAGTTATTTTCTCATTGTAATTTTCATAACATTAACAAATAATAAGTGAACTGTTGCCATTTTACATCTATATGAAGTAATTATGAGTTTGCAGGCATCAATATGCTGATGACAGTAAGGTCTCTTTTTCCATAACATTTGTGTTGGGGGAGGCTGGGGAGTCTCTGGACCCGTGCTTGGATGTAGTGGCGAGATGGATAAGGAAGAACCAGTCTGAGTTGGATAGAATTAGGCTACAGTTTTACTGATTACAGAGCAACAGGTTTGATGAAGGCATCAGGCATGAATTCATGTGATCACATAGCCCATTTGCTGCTTGATAAGCTTATCTTTTGACCATAGGTAGGCCAAATCGCCTTCTAAATCCGGCCTGCGGACAGTCTGGGAATCAGAGTGTTTTTACATGCATCTCTGGGTTATTTGTGGGGCATAGGAATTCATTCATTTATTTTTTTTCAAAATATAGTCTGGCCCCCCACAAGGTCTGAGGGACAGTGGACCGGCCCCCTGCTGAAAAAATTTGCTGACCCCTGCTTTTGACCATCACTGTTACTCACCCTGGCATGAACCGCTATCCAATGAACTTCCCCTGGCCACCGGCAGGGGGTACCATAGCCTGTCAGTCCACAAGCTGGACTTCTGGACAGAAATTGCTGCCTCCAAGATCCCTCAAGGGGATCCCCTAGGAGCTGCCCCCTCCTCTACCCCTCCCTTTTAAGGACCTAGCTCAATGCCTCTTACCCAGGGCATTTTCTTTTAGCAGCAATTCACTGGAACTCAGTTCTGGCACCTCTCAGGTAGGCACCATTACTATTATAAGAGAACAAGGGAGGTGTTCATGGTGAGTTCTGGCACCTCTTTTTCTAGAAAAACAGCACTGCTCTTACACGACAACAGTTGTGACAATTAAAAAGTGTAGTGGAAACAAAACAAGAGAAATAAAAGTGTGCCTGGGTGGGGAGATCGGCTCTGAAGTGTAGTGAGGAGTAGCAGCGGGGGAGGGGGTCCTTTTAATACTTCCAGAGAGGACCAGACTCCCAGAACCTTCCATCTAGTCTGCTCTGGAAGTTCCTCAACCTCACCCACAGCTCCCAGCCCCTCACCGCAGCTCCAAGTCTCACCCAGCTCCAAAGAGCCTGACCCGACACAGAATCTTCCTGGTGCTTCCACTTCCTCCTTGCAACCGCCCCAGGCTGCAACAACTGCCCCCAATAAGCCAGGAATGGGAGGATTCTGGCAAGAACCTTTTGAGACAGGAATATGACTTCATTCTGTTTGCAAAGAACGTGTTGGTACATTCAGAGCAGGGGTCAGCAACCTTTTTCAGCCGTGGGTCGGTCCACCGTCCCTCAGACCATGTGGTGGGCCAGACTATATTGGGGGGTGGGAGGTGAATGAATTCCTATGCCCCACAAATAACCCAGAGATGCATTTTAAATAAAAGGACACATTCTACTCATGTAAAAACACATTGATTCCCGGGCCGTCCATGGGCCGGATTGAGAAGGTGATTGGGCCGCATCCGGCCCCCGGGTCTTATGTCCCTTACCCCTGATTCAGAGGGACGAAACTAGATGAGATGGCAGTGATGGTAGCTTTTCCAATAGAGAAGACAGATCTTTGGTGTATTGCATAGCTTTTTGTCAGTCTCCATGACTAAATGTAGCCAAAGAACTTAGCAGTAATAAACATTCAGAGTTGCCTAATGTAAGCAGACCGCTGAATCCAGTTTTTGTTGTCTAAGAATCTGAATTACGCTTGGCTATGTGTGTGTGTGTGCGTGTGTGTCCGTGTGCACGTGCAGACTATAGGTCTTAGCCAACAAAATTCTACTCAGCGCAGATCCACTGAAATTAATGGACCCAAGTTAGACTTGTCCATTAATTTCAATGGGTCTACTCTGCGTAGGGTGAACATTGGGGGAGCAGATCTACAGAGGACTAAGCAGGGAGGAGCTGCTTTGCACTATCTTGGCCCGGTCTGTTCCCCAAGCCATCAATAGTATCTGTGTTTTTGTCTGCCTGCATCAGTTCATTGGGAGACGCCATATCATACACCTGCACAATTGCAATAATAATAGTTGTTCAAAGTTATCATGCTTCCAAAACGCTCATAAATGCATAAATGCATGATGACATCACATAGTCACAACACACACGTACAGTTGTATTTATTGATTTGGGGTTTTCCTTTCCCCACAGGCCTCCCTAAACGCAATACATAAATTCAAAGATTTCTGTCCTTAAAATACTGCAGATTTGCTTGTTTTTTTCATAAATTTTGTACTTCACCAGTAGGAAATGCTCAAGCAGTGATACTGGTGTTGTGTCAGGGACTGGGCATAGGAGGAGGAATGGTGAACCTTCCCAAGAAGAGAAGGACAGTATAGATTTACAACAAACAAAGTGGTTTGCAGAGGGTCACAGATCAGAGTTAGAAGAGGGGGAATGCTGGAAAATAATGGGAGAAGCAGAGCAGGAACTGCTGGCTGACACATTATCACTAGAGAGCATTCCAGACCCCCCTTCTCCCAAGACCCAGGGAGCAATGGAAGTAGGAGAGCAGAGAGCTAAGAGGCAATTGGCCCTAAGCAGCCACCGTAAGGGGGGTTGCTGTTGACGATTGAGATGGGAAGGGGGGAGGAGATTACTCAGAGCAATGCCATTAACCCAAGAGGCAACGTTTCTGAGTTGAACATTGACTAAAATACATTGGTAAGAACTTATTGTCTATCTATTGCTGGCAGTCTGCCGTGAGAGGGAGGGATCAGATTCCCTGACATGTGGAATAGAACGTCCCTATATTCATCTGAGGAATGGTGGAGGGTATGCTAAAGGTGTGCTACATAAAAGGTACTCTTAAGATTTTCCCCTGAGCAGGGCAATATTTGCCACAGAGGAATGTGTGAGTGTGTGTTGAAAGTAGCCTACAGCACAAAGGTAACATTTACCACTGTTGATCCACCCACTTTTTAACCTCTCCCCCTCTGGCCATGTGGCCCTCCGAAAAAGGGAGGAAAGCCCTTGGATGGAAAAAAAGGTTCCCCAACCCAGATTTCATCTAACATTCATTCAAGCCTAAGGTTGATTATCCACTTTATCCACTGAGAACATATTTAGGATGGTGAAAAAATATGAATTTTGCTTTTTAATGTATTCTAACCCTTATTTCTGAAAACAGATGGACTGAAAACCACAACAAATGCTTCTTTATCTATTAATGCGACATAATGGGCTTTCCAGGAATGCTTTTAGGAAGAGTCTTTTAGAAAAGTAAAGAAAACAGAAGACTTGTCTGAGAGTTTTCATTTGGTGCTTTGGGGAATAGCCAGAAAGAAGAAATCAAGAACCCTCTGCTCCCTATAGGGTGAAGTGGTGTTATGACAGAGTGGGTTGGCTCAGCTTCTTCTACAGATAAACTAACATTAAAGCCTAAAATAGGCAAGGAGATGACAAGTGGATTTAGATCTCAGGGAAGAAATAAAGGAAGCTTCTTTTCAGGCAGATCCCTTCAGTTTCTTCTTAGAGACCTAGCGGAACCAAAAGATGAGGTTCGCCGCTGGAGGAGAAATGGACCCCTCTCTGAAGATCCTGTTTCCTCTGTTTAGTATGGTCTTCACCTTATTCAGCACAGCAAGAGCAAAAAGTAAGTACAACCCAACACAATTTCTCCACGGTTCAATATTCATAGTTAAAGCAAGGCAAATACAATGTGCAATTGTTTCAGGGAAATTTCACTGTCTCTGATCTTTCCAAATGATTGTGCTACTGAAGAACAACCATGCTGAAGCAGCAAGAGTAAAGGAGGAGGAAGAATATCCTTGTACTAGGAAAAAATGTACTTCTCAGTGGTAATATTCAGTTTATCAGTCACTAGCACTTAATAAAATCTCTGAGTGACTGCAACATTTTAAGCGCATAAGTCATAACATAAGACCGGAAGAACAATGAATCAAGCATTTTGTGGGGGTTTTTGCTCTAAAATTCCTACCCTAAAGAATTTAGGGTGTCTCTTCTTGCACAATCTGCTTCTGATATTTCGGCAAGGAGGTGATGTACTTCACAGAAAATCAAGGATTTCTTTACTGCATAAGACCTTTTACTTCACTAAAAATAAACCTGTCTCTGTTAGACTGGGCAAAAAAAAGCTGGCCATAGTTCTCCCCTCACAGAGATAGAGATCCAAGACCCTTAACATGCTACAGTTCCTAGGATTCTTCGATGAAAGTTTTTGCTTTAAATGTATAGTGTGTACACAGACAATGTCAGAATATGACTATGTATACATTAGCAGCATGAAACACAGCAACTTGTCCCGGTCTCCCTTAGTTTCAAGTCACATTCTTAGACGGCTGCACACTAAGAATAGCTGAATAGGAATAGCTGAAGTTTCTCACTAGTAATAGGAAATATGTAAATTTTGTCTACACCAATAATTTTTAAAGCCCCAAATGTGTAATTCAATAATTTAATCTGAATTCATATTCACATGAGTAAACTAGCATGGTTGCATTGATGTTTGTAACATTAGCTATATAGGTATTCATAGATTTGATTTACATATTCCTTCATCTTTCAGATTCATCCTTGGACATCCAGGGTCTTTCTTTTGCTAGTTTCCCTGCTATGGAAATACATGCTAATGATAAAGAAATAATTACTATTGATACATTGAACAACTACAATCAATCCATAAAGCAAGTGGATATCAAAAAACAAGCTGAAAAATACTTGACAGGTCCATGGATGACTCGTTTTGTTCCTTCACTCCACACTGCTGTGGTTATTTTCAGCCTTCCTTTAAACATTACGGCAATCCTTATGTTTGTGGTCAAAATAGGGCTTAAGAAACCAACTGTGGTGTACATGCTCAACCTGGCTACTGCAGATGTCCTCTTCGTGAGTGTGCTTCCTTTTAAAATCGCCTACAACTTTTCTGGAAACAACTGGATCTTTGGGCCTGTGATGTGTCATTTTGTCACTGCCGCCTTCTACTGCAACATGTATTGCTCCGTCCTGCTGATGATGGTTATAAGCGTGGACCGTTTCCTGGCCGTGGTGTACCCAATGCAGTCCCTGTCCTGGCGCACAGCAAGACGGGCCTCGTTGGTCTGCTTTCTCATCTGGCTTCTGGCTATAGCTGGGGTGATACCTCTGCTTGTCAATGAGCAAACACAGAGATTATCCCTGTTAAATATTACGACCTGTCACGATACATTAGATATCTCTGTTATTATGGATATATTTCGGTATAACTTTTCTGTATTATCCATTTTGTTCTTTTTTATACCGTTATTAATCTCTGTCACCTGTTATGTGTGTATTATAAGGAAACTTTCTTCATCCAGTGTTGCTACAAAGACTGCTAAAAAGAGACGTGCCATTCTCCTGTCTGTAGCAGTCTTGTCTTCTTTTATTATTTGTTTTGGCCCTACAAATGTCCTATTATTAGTGCACAACTTGCGCATCTCACCTGATCAACCCCTTGAAAGCCTGTATTTTGCCTATAGCTTAGCGGTCTGCATTGGTACCATAAACTGCTGCATTGATCCCTTAATTTATTATTATGCCTCTTCAGAGTGTCAAAAGCAGGTGTGGGATCTCCTGTGCTATAAAAAGCAGTCTGATCTTGAACAAAGCAGTCATACAACAAGCAGTAATGCCACCAATCTTTTTTTTTGTGGCCTGAAAAATTTGTCTCAAGCATAGAATTTTACAGTGTGTGGTACAGTATTCATAAATATAGGTGTTGCATGACAAAGATGTGAATATTTGTTTACGGTTCACGTCTTTAATGTCCATGCCATTTTTTCTCTAAAATATTTATGCTGTTTCTTATATTAAAGGCTATATTATATATTATATTACATTAAAGGCTATATAAAATCAAAGATTCAGAGAATTTTAGAGTTCCCTTGATCAGGACACTACTGTTGATGCAGCCTAGAATAGCACTTTGCTGCTGCATCACGCAAAATATTTCAAACTGGATTTATTTTTTATATTTTTTGGCCACTGTTAACATTGAAACTAATGTTTATCCAGAGATCTGGTTTGTTCCAGTGAGGACTGTATATAAATGTAAATATTACATATTGTTGTTCCAATTATTTTATTAGTATATAATAATGTTAATAATATTTCTTGAGGCAGATATTAACTTATTTGTTGCCATTAATTTGGGGTTTTTTTCTGACAAGAGCCTTCTGAAACAGGAATGTGATTTAACCCTTTTCGAAAAGAACGCATTGGTACATTCACTCAAACCAGATGAGATTGTAGCTTTTCCAATAGAGAAGACACAGGAGGCAGAGCTTAGATGTACTTTATAAGCGGTCAGACTCCATGATTCAGTGTAACCAAACAAATTAGAAGTGATAAACATTCAGAGTTGCCTAATGTAAACAGCTATGGTTTTCCCAGTAGTGATGTATGGAAGTGAGAGCTGGACCATAAAGAAGGCTGATCGCCGAAGAATTGATGCTTTTGAATTATGGTGCTGGAGGAGACTCTTGAGAGTCCCATGGACTGCAAGAAGATCAAACCTCTCCATTCTGAAGGAAATCAACCCTGAGTGCTCACTGGAAGGACAGATCCTGAAGCTGAGGCTCCAATACTTTGGCCACCTCATGAGAAGAGAAGACTCACTGGAAAATACCCTGATGTTGGGAAAGATGGAGGGCACAAGGAGAGGACAGAGGACTAGATGGTTGGACAGTGTTCTTGAAGCTACCAGCATGAGTTTGACCAAACTGCGGGAGGCAGTGGAAGACAGAAGTGCCTGGCATGCTCTGGTCCATGGGGTCACGAAGAGTCGGACACGACTAAACGACTAAACAACAACAATGTAAACAGATTATTGAGTCCAATAGTTTTTTTTGTGGGGGGGGGGAGTTGGCTCAGACTTTTAATTACGCTTGGCTGCAGATTGTGTATGTGTGTGCATGCAGACTATGGGTTACAGCCTTTGCTTTTTTCTGGGGGGACGCAGGGGTACGCATACCCCCTAAACATTTTGTGAATCTAAGTTTGGCCTCATTGAGGGGCAGCATTTCAATACGAATAGGAAAATGAGAGTACCCCTAAACATTTTTTTTTAAAGCATTGGTTACAGCCAACATGGTCAGATCTCCAGGTGCTTTATGTTGAAGCTGAATGTCAGTGGGAGAAGGCTGGGAGTGGGGGAAACCATGTATGCCATCACCTTGAGCAACTTGGAAGAAAGGGGGGAACAGAAAAAAAATAAAAAAAAATAATGGATAGACAAAGTTCCTGTTCATTCATTCGTGGATGATGTCTTTCCTAGGGATCTGAAGAACACCCCAAAGAGGACATTATTACCATCATGATGGGCTGCAGTTCCATGGCAGAGCACATGTGTTTTGTTGCAGGAGTCCTCGGGTTCAGTTTCCAGCATCTCCAGGTTTTGTTGGGAAAGGCTGTGTCCTGAAAGCTGGACAGCCACTGCTAGTCAACGTACACATCACTAATCTAGATGGATCACTGGTCTGATCCATCAGAGTTTTTCTTATGCTTTTGTTTTCATGAGCCTGCTACTTGCCTAAGCTCCTTTTCCACCCCACTAATCTATTATGATAGGGTAATAGAGTCGTTGCTGCTGGTCACTGCAGTCTTATCAAGATTTTCAATTTCTCTAAAACTGGAATTACAGCCACAAGCCCAAAAGGAAGGTGTATAGGTCTGAAGTTCTCAGACTGAGGCCAAACAAACTTCCCTAAAGAGGATCAGCTGGCAGCAATCATTCATCACTGGAAGGACATAAGAAGGTGCCTTATACCAAGTCAGGCTAGTTCACCACAATGGCTAGCAAGATACCTCCAGGAAACCCAGGAAATTGGCATCAAGACCTTCTCCTGTTGTTGGTCCCCACCAACTGGTATTCAGCTGCATATCTTCTCTGAACATGAATGGTCTGGAAAGCCATTGTGGCTAGTAGCCATTGGCAGAGGTCCCATGTGGGATTTAGGCAGATGAATGGGGATGAGGCAGAATCTGTGTTTCTTGGGGGTTTTTTGATCCAGTGCTCCTATGTGATATGCTGGAGCTCTTTTTCATGGGAAAATACTTATTATATATTATTTATTTCTTACATTTTTATACTGCCCTTCATCCAAAGATCACAGGGCAGTTTACAACATAAAAGCATGAAATACATAACTTAATAGCAAAATAAAAAATAAATACACACCTCTAACACATTTAAAAGTCCAAAATTGTTTAATCAACTAAAGAGCTGGCTGAAGAGCATTTTTACCTGATGCCTGAAGTCCCTGGGGAAAACATTCCACAAATGGGGAGCCACCACAGAAAAGGCTCGTTCTTGTGTTGCCCACCCCACTTGCACATTTAGAATTCAGCTTGTTTCACACAGCTGTAGAAGCATTTCACATACAACTCTTAAATATGAGCTAATTTCTCTTATCCTTCATTTAATGTGAGAACTTTTGTCTTCCGGACAAAGCATGAAAAGAACTTCCCCCCTAAAAACAAGTTTGAGAGATGCAAAGAAGGTGGCGATCACAGAAATAATTCTTCACTCTGAATGGGGTTGCAAAGTAAGAGTGGCTATTATAGGAGTACAGATTATAAATCATTAATTGGGATATGGATGCAATACTGTCTAACTAAGCTGAATTAATTTATACCTGTCAAAAGACCAAAAGGTGTGTTTCCCATTCTCAGGAAAATGAATGGTGCTGTCTGTGGCCAAGCCTCGTGCCCAAAGCACATGAACCAAATAAATGGTCTTCCATATGCAGTTAAGTCTGGAGTTCATTCATTGCACTACCAATTCAAGTTTAAAGTGCAGCCAAGGAGTGAAAATGTTTTGTGTATAATAAGGATGCTTTAAAAATCAAACAGAATCCTAAGTGTAAAAGAAGCACTACTTTTAAATACCCAGGTGTTGTCTCCAAAATAATTCATTTGGAACGCAAAATTGCTGGTGTGATTCACCTGAAGGGACAATTTATTTCTGGGTGTATTTCAGCTCCTAGATCCATAAAGGTTCTACTTGATTTAATTGCTAAACTGCTGACATACCATGGGTGTTAACTCCTGCAAACATTCTTTATGTGACTACTAAACATCAGAGCAGCTATTTGTAGAAGTAACAAAAGTGTTGATATATTCAAGATTGTTTTTCGTGGCTAAAGTTGATTTTGTTACATTTATATCTTGCCCTTCCTCCAGGTTCGTTAAAATCGGCAACAACCCTATGAGGTAGCTTAAGATTCCTCCAAATTGAGCATACATCCTGGTTTTCTTGCACAAAGCTTATACTGTAGTCAAATTATATCCAGTTTCATTCTGATATGTTTGCAGAGTAGTTCTATAACAACGAGCATTCTTCCTGCTTTCATTCTGATTTGCTTGTGGGGTGTTTGCACACCTTCCACCTTTTAATGCATTCCGCCATCACTTTCCAAACTGCAAAATGTCTTTTTTTTAAAGTGGTTTTGTCGCGCTAAAGTGACAGAGCACTTTAATCCACGTCAGCTGTGAAAGCCTGAAGTTCCAGTTTGCGCTTGAAATCACATAGCTCTGGGTGATTTGTAGTAAATCAGCAATATATATATATTTACTTTCAACTGTTTTAACAAAAGTAGCAACAAAACTAATTTCAGCCCCCTCTGAGCCCTAATTTATACTGCTAATATGAAGAGAGATTGAGGTAATCAGGAATGGATTGTTTCATGAAAGGCCTATGAGCTCCATTCAGTTCTGACATGCACAACAAATTCCTAGGCTATGAATTCTTCAATTCTATACATATGTCTTTTGCACCAATCTCCAGTTTGTAGATCTCAGGGTTGTAGTTAAAAAACAACAACTGCATCATGCAAATCTGTCCACCTCTGAAATAAGCTATACAATATTTTTATGCTTTTACATCATTCTCCCAAATTCCATGTGATGCCAGGAAATTGCTGACTAATACATCTGTATCTGGAGAGGGAAGTTCTGCAGGAGAAATCACTCCAAGCTGATATCACTCCTTAGATCTGGTTCTTGTTGACAGCCATTGTATGTTCTCTTTGCATCCATCAAGGCCACCATCCTAGAAATAAACAAAGAATTCTGGGAAAAGTTTCCTTCTGGCAATGTTTTCTCTTACTCAGTGCTTGGACACATACCAGTTACGAGACAGAACATTCTTTCACATCTTTAAGATAATATGACATTCGCTGAGTTTAAAAGAATGCTCTTGGTGGGTGGATTCCAGATAGACTGGTTAGTTTAGCTGAGACAAAATGGGGAAAGTGTGGTCTTTAAATATCCATGTAGCCATTTGCAAAATATACACTGCAGTTGCATCTGGAGGCTTTTTTCCCTTATCATACAACAGCCATTATCATTATTTCTTGGGGGGAAGGGGTTAATAAGCATACAAATCTGATTTTAACACCAAGGAAGTAGCGTGGGGCTTCAAAGAATTAGCTGTAAATTCATAACTGTTCCTCTCCACAGCCATATTTAGTAAAAGGCGAAAGATTTGTACGATCTGAAGAGAAACCAGACTATAGCCATTATCATTAGTTCAGTTTTGTCTGAAGTTATTCCATACTTTCCCATGGGTCCTTCAGCCTTGTTACTATCTAGTTTTCTTTGGCAGTCTCCTACCATTTCACCCTAGTTACCAGCTAACTGGAACTATTGTTGTTAAGTTGTGGGTGAACATATCAGATGACACAGCGATTCTTCAAACAGCTCTTGTTTATTCTCAGGCCAAGACAGAAATGAACTGAAGGGTTCAGTCAGCCTGCTTATATAGCGCTCCAGTACAATGTAACTGTAACAATTTTCTAAAACTATCCAATCACTGAACGTCACTTTTGATCCCTTATTTGCATAACTATCTACAGCATCCCCCTGCTGGCCCAGTACATAACAGTTGTCTTTTCATCTCATATGTCTGGTTCATAGTTTGTGATAAACTCTTAACCATTTAGGCCCAGTTCACATGTAATGCTAGGCCAAACCATGGCTTAGCATGAACTAGCAAATGTGTGGGTTCGCAGACTGAGGTTCACAGCCACAGAGTTGCTCCTGGGGTCCTGCTGCAGCCGTGATCTTCAGTCTGCGAACCCACTCATTCATGCTAAACCAGTAAGCTTCAGACTTGTCAGAGGCTCCACCTTGAGCCAACACATTTTTATCATATATTTGTAGGGCTGTTGTGCTGCTCTGGTGTCCCACTTTAAGTCAAGCCCAGCAGCGGGTCCGTACTCAGCAGCTGAAGACCAATGCACTAAACCAGTGGGTTTTTAAAAATAAATAAATCAGTATACCACTGTGGAGGATGTACCATCTAGGCCTGATGGAATGTTTTTATATATGCTGGAAGCTGCTCAGAGTGGCTGGGGCAACCCAGTCAGATGGGTGGGGTGCAAATAATAAAAGTACAGTGGTACCTTGGGTTACATATGCTTCAGGTTATATACGCTTCAGGTTACAGACTCCGCTAACCCAGAAATAGTGCTTCAGGTTAAGAACTTTGCTTCAGGATGAGAACAGAAACCGTGCTCCGGCGGCACGGCAGCAGCAGGAGGCCCCATTAGCTAAAGTGGTGCTTCAGGTTAAGAACAGTTTCAGGTTAAGTACGGACCTCCAGAACGAATTAAGTACTTAATCTGAGGTACCACTGTAGCAGTAGTAGTAGTAGAAACATTTTCAGCAGGTGTTTAAAAGTCAGTGCAGAAGGAACCTGCTGAATCTCTATTGGCAAGGTATTCCACAGGACTGGGCCAATGACACTAAAGACACCATTTCATGTTGTTGTCAAACAAGCCTGACTAATGGATAAAATGTAACCCAGCCAGCTTCAAATCCTTCTTCAGAATGAGGCCTTCTCCTTGGCCTGTGGCAAATTGCAGTCCTCTCACCCCTCTACCTGCTGTATTCAGTTTCTTCCACAGATATGCTGCCCACTGGGCTGAGCAAGCCGCCATCTCTCAGCCTAACCTACCTCGCTGAATTGCTGTGAGGAAAATGAGAGAAAATAATATACTGTAAATGCCCACTGAGAGTCCTTTCCCTGCCTTTGCATTGCAATTCTAACTACCAACTGTTATTGCTGAGGATAAGGGAAAGGAAGTAGCACTCTCTCTGTTTTAACTGTTTTTAAATGTTTTGGTTATTATGCTTTTTAATTTCTTGTTTTATTGTGCATTTTTATTAAGGATGTGCTAATGCCCCAGTGGATTTGTTGTGCATTATAACTGCTTAGTTATTTTATGGCTGTAAACTGCTTAGAAGCCATTTTGACAAACAAACAGCATACAAATTAATAAACAACAGCAATGTGTGATCTATTTGACATTTCTGCACTGCAGGGGGCTGGACTAGATGACTCTCAGAGCCCCTTCCAACTCTACAATTCTATGATCCTAACAATAATATGAAGCTGAATTATGCTGCTATATATGAGAAGCTAAATATCTTCTGTAAGCCACCTCTGGAGGACTTTAGCACTGAAAGGTAGTGTAGAAATAGTTCAAACAAACAATAAACCTGCTACAGACCTTTTGCAGGAATGAGGGGAAGGGGAAAAAATCTATTTAAATGGATTATATTGCATAGGTTCTAGAGCTACTATATTCTGTTCTTCACCTGTCCTTCATTTCAGGGAAGAATGCGGTCCCTAATGAATGTTTTGCCTTGAAAAGTCTCCCCAGGAGGGTGAAGTTTGGTAGGAGACAAGTGTGAAGAAGGGGAACCCGTCTCCTGCCATTTGTTTACCTCCTGGATCATCACACCTATGTGTTCCTTTTATCCCCTGTGGCACTACTCCGCCTTGGTGAGTAAGCATGGAGTATTGCCAGAGAAAAAACCCAGTTGGGGTATGGCAGGAAGTTTCAGGGGAGGTATTGAGTTCTCCTTTCCCTCCCATCCCTCTTAATGTTTCCTGAGGGCACTTTGCAATTGAAAAGGAGCCTGAAGTATAAAGGAGGCTGAAGTATAAAGTACAGCTTGCTCCTAGGAAAGCCCATCTAAGTGAATATACTTAGATGAGTTAATAAGCCAGGAATGCAGTTTTATTGCCAAGGGTAATCATTTACCCTTTAGTGTAAACAACAGGCTTTAATTGTGCAAAAAAGAAAAAAAGAAAGGATCAAGTGGGAAAGTAGTCAAACCCGAGCAGTTTAAGAAAGCTCTTTTATGTTTTCAGCACAATAGAGTAGCTTAAGGAATAAAATATAGAAAATGGGAAAGTATATTATTGTGTAACTTTTAGATTATGACCATTCAAGCAAAGCAAGGAATGTTGTGTTAATTCATTGTAAACAGACAAGATGAATCATCCAGACAGTTTTTGCCTATTAAGGATTTGAATAGATAGGATGTTGATATTAGTCATTCTGAACCTTGATTAAGGAGATAAGTTGTAATTAAATACAGATGTGAACTTCAGAGGAAATTATGTCCCTGAATTTATGGCCTGTCTTTTCTGCTAAGTATCTAAACAGCCATTAAAAAGTCAGATCTTGTATCTGTGTTTGGTTATTTGAGTTAGCAGGAGGTCACCAGCTTCAGACTGTCTAAATTAGAAATGATATATGTTAAATCCATGATGAGAGACTCCCATGTAGTTGAGCAATCCTAAGAAGGGGAAGAGTGATTGAAGTGGGGACAATATGCTACTTCCAACGTCAGGGGAGATAACAGTTTCCCCTTCTTTCCCCCAGCATTTGTTCCAAAAAAGTATTGTCGTATGACATGTTCCTGTTCAGGTTTCCCACAATGCCCAGGATATTCCATTCCCCTAGTTTCTTATTCCATTCAAGAGTCAGTATTCTATGCCCACAGAACATGCTCAGAATACATATACAGCAGACATTTAAAGCACTTTCTCCTTCAAGAACCCTGGAAACTGTAGTTTACTACTTACAGAACTACAATTTGCAGTGCCCTTAACAAGCTACAGTTCCCAGCATTAGAGAGGCTATGCTTTAATGTAAGGTGTGTTTGCAACCTCAATCTTTATTGATTTTAGGAACAGACCCTGAACAAGACATTTTCCCCTTATGCGTGCATGCCTCCACAATCCTTGCTGTTTCCTCAAGCCTGCTGATAAATCTGTTTCATACATACATTGTGCCATTTTGGTCATATGAGGATCCACACCTGAAGAATGAGTTCTGGACAGTAATGTCTTTTTTCAGCATACTCCAGTCCATTCCCCACCAATCCTGGTTGTTGTTTTCCATTTCCCACCTTTTGACCAGTCAGTCAGCATTCAGTGACCCCTAAGCATCCTCAGTAATCAATGAATTGCAAGGGCTCTTCTTCATGTAAGGGTTGGGATTTCTTTGGTACTTCTGCAAACTTTGGAGTCACTCTGAGCTGCCTGGTAGTTCTCTCTTGCAGATGGATTGTGTTATTTTGATTACATAAGTCTCCAGTCAGAGAATGAGGTCAGTATTTACATAGGGGGAATTATACATTAGAGTTCTGCTCCATAAAACAAAGAAGAAAAGCAAACATGGGTGTGGTTGTGATGAATGCAGGCTTGCTGTCTAGCTGAATTAGATCTATTGGATCTTCAGAGCTCCTTAACTCCACATTTTTCATGGCATATCTATGATACCACTGAATCCCTTTGGGGATCAGTTAACTCTGGGTCAGAATCATTTTATGTGCCAATACCCAAAACATGAAATAAGAGTACCTGGTTTGGTGTTTCGTTTCTCTCTTTTGGAATCAGTTTCTTTCAGAATGCCTGTGTTTTTCTTCGGGCTAAATTAATCATCACATTGCTAGTGTGAGTCTATTCTTTTGAAGTGTTGATATGTTACAAAACTTCCATTCTTATAAAACACTGGTAACATTTGACAACACTTGCACTGAGTCTAGGATAAGATCCTGAAATGGGCAGCTCTCAAGATGCAGCTGGCAGAGCTGTAGCTATGGGGGGACTAGCCGTGTTTTTTGCCCCGGGTGAAGCCTCCAGAGGGGTGTCGTTGAAGCTGCCAGCCTCTGTGTGTATGTGTGTGTGTGTGTGTGTGTATGCAAAAGAGTGGGGGGGAGGTGTATGCCAAACTGGGTCTTTGCCTAGGTGAAATAAAGCCCAGTTTCGCCCCACAAGTTCCCTTCCTTTCTTCAACCATTACTAGGACATTTTAAGTATCTGGGACCGGGGGGGGGGGGAAGGTAGGCGGATGGATGAGCAGGACATGCAGCACACAAAGCTTTGGTGATGAAGAATAGGGGCTTTCCTAGCTTGAAAGTGTAGAGGGGAGTTGAGCGTGCAGCTTCCTGTTCTCACCTCCGGCAAATCTAGCTACTGGCCAAGAGAAGAAAAGGCTCAAGGGAAAGGATGATTCAGTTACTATGAGACAGCACCAAATTCCGCCCCCCTTCCGTCCTGGAAATAGAGCTGAGAATTTCTGGGATTGTTCTTTTTCCCATCTCTCGAAAAAGGAAGGCCTCTTTGCATAATAGTCTCCAAACATTCTCTACCATTAGGTCAGGGCATTGTGGAGGGTGTAAAATGGTGGCCAGTCTGACAATACAATTGCTGCTGCTAACACTTAATAGTGTTATAGACAAAGGTCTGTATAGTTAAAGCTATGGTTTTCCCAGTAGTGATGTATGGAAGTGAGGGCTGGACCATAAAGAAGGCTGATCGCCGAAGAATTGATGCTTTTGAATTATGGTGCTGGAGGGGAGACTCTTGAGAGTCCCATGGACTGCAAGAAGATCAAACCTATCCATTCTTAAGGAAATCAGCCTTGAGTGCTCACTGGAAGGACAGATCCTGAAGCTGAGGCTCCAATACTTTGGCCACCTCATGAGCAGTGGCGTAGCGTGGGGGGTGCAGGGGGGGCCGGCCGCACCGGGCGCAACATCTGGGGGTTAGGGTTAGGGGGCGCAACATCTGGGGGTTAGGGGGCGCAAATCCACGGGTTAGGGGGCGCAAATTACTTGCCTTGCCCGGGTGCCTACAACCCACACTATGCCACTGCTCATGAGAAGAGAAGACTCCCTGGAAAAGACCCTGGTGTTGGGAAAGAAGGCACAAGGAGAAGGGGACGACAGAGGACGAGATGGTTGGACAGTGTTCTTGAAGCTACCAGCATGAGTCTGACCAAATTGTGGGAGGCAGTGGAAGACAGAAGTGCCTGGCGTGCTCTGGTCCATGGGGTCATGAAGAGTCGGACACGACTAAACGACTAAACAACAACACTTATAGTGATGGCAACAACAAAACCTCAGGGGAAAACATAAAAATAAATGTGCTAATGGTGAGCCCCCCCCCCCCTAAGAAACTGCTGGAGGATTTCTCCTCTGCACTGAGAAGTTTGGTGACATTTTTCTGCTTACAAGAAAATTACCTGAAATCCTTAGAAAAAGAAATACAAGCCAGGCAGCAGCAGATGTAACCGTTATTGCTTTTAGCAGTTCACCTGAAGCCCAGGCAGCTGCTGCTGCTTCCTTTCTGTCCTTGATTATTTGCAGTCTTGAGGTGAAGGAAGCCTATGCTACCCCAAGAGCTATGCCATATGCTGGAAGTGAGTAGAAGTAATCCCAATTTTGTTGCAGTGTGTTATTATATTTATTATTACACATTGCATTATTATGCTTAGAGCACCTTGGGGGTCCTTATGGATTGAAAGGAAGGTTAGAAATTGCATGCAATAATGTGAACACCAGTTTAATGCACAGTGTTGACACTAGCAGTCATATGGCATAAAGGGAATGAGTCTCTACTCAGATAAAGGAACTTCTAATGCTCCATCAATACTGAGAATTGTAGTTAAAACTTCCAGGATTTAAAATGCCAAGCAGCATTTGAGTAGGTGAGAGTTATTTTACACACCATACATTTAAAGCACGTCCCTTCCCCTCCCTGGAATTGTAGTTAATTTTGTATTTTGATTTATTTTAATCCACATTGGGGGGATCTTTACCCCACCCTAAAAAAGTGTGTTTGAAATCCATTAAAAGAAATCATAATAATAGTAAATAGCACCAGGGGCAGACTTTGATAATATGGCATCCTGAGGACAAATTTTTATGCTCCCCGCCCCCAGCTTTGTGTAGGTACCCATATAAATATAGGTATTATTATTATTATTATTTGCCCCCTGGGCTCAGCACTCGGGGGGGGGGACACCACCCATACCGCCCTAAATCCGATGCTAATAGCACAGTGGTTCTGTTTTAGGAAGACCCTCTGACTGAGACCAGATAAAGATTTCCACATCCTGTCTAGTTAAGATGTTTGTTTGTTTGTTTGTGTTTGTTTGTTTGTTTGTTTGTGTTTGTTTGTTTCAAAGCAATTGTGCCTAATGACTTACTTATTCAATGGCAAAGGTGATGCATTTATAATTGTTCCACTAACCTGTGAATGCTCTAAACCGGTTCTACAAATTCTTTAATAGTTCAGTGGCAACATGCTTGAACCACATCAGTCAGTGACATGCAGTTAATCAGGAGCACTTAGTACAGACTAGCAGCTATATAAGACAGCTTGCCATATTTAAAAACAGGGAAACCTAGTCTTGCAGATGTTGGGTGGGTGGAGGTTTTGAAAAGGAAGGCCAGAGCTGTACCATTGAAATCATGATCTCCCAAGACGGCTCTTGGGTTCACTAACTGGTTAAGGATGCAATCCTAACCCCATTTACCTGGGAGTATGCCCCCCTAACCTCAGTGGGACTTCCTTCCGAGTCAGGGGTGCCAACTTCAATAAAACAAAGGAGGCAGGTAAGCCCTCGCATAATGGATCACAAAACATGGTGAATGCACACCATTTGAATGGCATTGGCAAGGCCCATCAACTTTGGGGAACCCGAAGGGACCTCAACTCCTAGGAGTTGGCTTCCATGTGTAGACATGGATTGTGATGGACTAGTTTACTGAATCCATTACTTTTACTGAAGTATCCTTTACTGAATTCCTTAGGACTTGCTGGCAGCTAAGTAGGATTAGAAGCGTAGCCTTAGGCTGTCTACATTTAAATCCCATTAACGAACACCCCAAGCATCCTGGGAACTGTAGTTTGTTAAGGGTGCTGGGCCTTGTCCGGGTGAGGGTAAACTACAATTCCCAGGATTCCTGCAGGGCGGGGGCGTGCTTTAAATGTGTGTCGTGTAAAGCCTTTTGGCGCCTGCGATTCCTGGGAACAGGGCCAGATTTAGATTTGATGAGGCCTTAAGCTACTGAAGGTAATGGGGCCCTTTATATGTCCAGCTGTCCTTTGTCAACAACAAATTGTCACTATTTTTTGTGTTGAATATATGGTAATTTGAGGGATGCAGGTGGCGCTTTGGTCTAAACCATAGAGCCTAGGGCTTGCTGATCTGAAGATTGGTGGTTGGAATCCCCGCAACGGGGCGAGCTCCCGTTGCTCGGTTCCTGCTCCTGCCAACCTAGCAGTTCAAAAGGACATCAAAGTGCAAGTAGATAAATAGGTAAATGGCGGGAAGGTAAATGGCGTTTCCGTGTGCTGCTCTGGTTCTCCAGAAGCGGCTTAGTCATGCTGGCCACATGACCCAGAAGCTGTACGCCGGCTCCCTCGGCCAATAAAGCAAGATGAGCGCTGCAACCCCAGAGTCGGTCACGACTAGACATTACGGTCAGGGGTACCTTTACCTTTATATGGTAATTTATGGACCTAACAGGTATCTAAAGCCATTTTCACATAACAAAATATGTATGTTATCAAAGTAATTGTTGAACTGAAATACAATTAAGAAGTATATTAATAGTGAAATACAATTAAGAAGTATATTAATAGTGTTTTTTATCTTATATTTTGGAAATGTACATCCAGTGGTTTTTTTCCCTTTAAATTTTTTTGAGGGGGGGGCCCTAAGCTACAGCTTCTTTAGCTTATACGTAAATCCGGCACTACCTGGGAACGTGTCTGGCTCTGCTCGTAGGCGCTCCGCGAGCTCGATGGCGGCGCGCAAAGCGCCTCCGCCTCCGCGCCACGTTCCAGAGCCCTGAGCTCACCTCGCCCCTCTCCCGAGGGCAGCCAAGAGCGCCTACCTACAGCCAGGCGCGGGGGAGGGGGAGGGCAGGACTGGAGCGGTGACGTCACGGAGGTGCTGCTGAGGCGCCGCCCCCTCCCGAGCCCTCCACCTCTCCCTTTTTAGGTATCAGTGAAACTGCCCAGTCGCCGTCGACGCTCGAGGAGGAAGTTGGTGGTGGCGCCTTTGCAGCGAGGCGCGTGCCGCGGAAATGGGGCGCCTCGGCCGGGCTTGGCTGGGCTTCGTGGTGCTGCTTGGAGCTCTGATGCTCGCTTCTGCCACAGGTAAGGCACGCGGAGCCCTGTGCTCCCGAGGGGAAGAAGGTGGCGGGGTCCTTTTCTCTGCCTGCCCTCCACCCTTGCTCCTCCTGGAGATTTCGCTGGCCTTTGGCTCAGGTAGACTTGGTTTGCCTCTTCTTAGTCCGAGCAGCAGGATCGGATCCATGTTTAGGCAAAGTGGAACTAAGTGCAGTGGGGCTCCCAAACAAATGTGCAGAGAGACTTGCACCTTTGGGGATGTTAAACACCCCCCCCCCCACTTTCCATTATTATTTCTCCGTGTAAGGTAAACAAGGCTTAACTTAATGTCCTGCTTTGAGTGCATGGCTGCAAATCGTATAAGCTGTCCCAAGCATATACTGAATGCTTCCCCACCCCTCTTTTTTAACTTCTGGGTCGCCATAAGTCGTGTTTACCTGGAGTAAAGCTCTTCAGCAGTGGCTTTCAGACTGCTCAACTTTATGGAGTCTTCTCCACACTGATTTATTTGCCTTTAGAAAGTGCGAACACCACTGACTTACACTTCCTCCTTGCACCTTTTGGCTTTCACTTCAAAGCTGCCAAGTGACTAATTTCAGTGCCTAAAACATTTCTTTTTTTGGCGCGGGGCTGGGGGGACGACTTAGAACATTGTGTTAATATCTGATTTACTTTGAAGTCTACAAGAATTATCTGTGTTCTTGTGAATGGGTACTAGTTGTTATACTTCACTTTGATCTCTTCAGTAAGGCATCCAGTGAATCTTGTAAATAACAACAATAAAAAATTGTCTCTAAGACAGAAGGTTCTTACATAAACCTGATATCTTGACAATGCTTTCCTTTGAACCATGGTTTATATTTAAAATATGTATGTAAAATAGCTTGACACAGACTGATTTTTTTACCACATTAAAAAACCTAGTCTGAAAAAGAAAACTTAATGAATCTTTAATTAAGCTCTCAGACATTAGTGCTAAGGATCTGATCTCCTGAAAAAATCAAAGTATAATCTTCCTGACTGTAGCAAAACAGTTCTATCATGCATTAAGATGGGATTTTTGGGAGCAATGGATAACACTTTAGGCCAGGGGTTAGCAAACTTTTTCAGCAGGGGGCTGGTCCACTGTCCCTCAGACCTTGTGGGGGGCAAGACTATATTTGGATATTAAGAAGAAGAACAAATTCCTATGCCCCACAAATAACCCAGAGATGCATTTTAAATAAAAGGACACATTCTACTCATGTAAAAACATGCTGATTCCCGGACTGTCCACAGGCCGGTTTTAGAAGGCCATTGGGCCGGATCTGGCCCCCAGGCCTTAGTTTGCCTACCCATTCTTTAGGCTGTGAGATTGAATATAATTTTATTAGGCTTTGGTATTAGCTTGTAGTAAATGAATAGAATGCATAATCTTAAAAGGTTAGGAAAGTGTTGGTAACTTGGGGCTCTTTTCATGCCTCCTGGGTATGCCTTGCAGTGCAAACATTCTCAGGACTTCATTTTGCGTAAATGCAACTTGTACAATTGTAAAATGGCCTTATACCAGTTCATTGAAGGCTCTTCTTAGATCACTAAATGGACATCCTCTTTTGCTTACTACTTTTTGTAAGAATTGACTGGGCGGTCCAAGATACTAAGATTGGATAAACAAAGTACCGGTATTCACTTTGTGTCTAAACTGCTCGATGTCAAGGAGTATTTATTTATTTATTTAAGAAGAGATAATGTAAGTTTTCTGCTTTGCAGTGGCTTCTCTGCAGCTTTTAATTTTGTGATGGTGTTAATGGTTGTTTCTGCATCTGTTAAGCTTCTGTTTGAATCTAAATGCCTTTTATGGTTCCTGCAACTTCTATCTGGGGAGCACAGTTAATTAAGAATAATCCAATACTTCTTTTCTATGGCATCTGTGCATTTAGACTCTGGTTTTGTTGCTATGTTATATCAGCTTGAGTAATTTTCTAGAAAAACCACTCTCGTTTTTAAAAATGGTTCAATATCTACAAAAGATTTTGTAATATATTTGCAGGAGTATGGCACCCACCCCTAACATCTCTTTCAGCAGAAGCCAATGAAGTGGACTAAAAAGTCTGGCAAACTAGCTACACACACAATTACTCATTTATACCACGCCATTGATGCACATGAAGCTTTCTGGCGTAAAACCAAAAAGGCAGTTCCTGTCATTCAAAGAACCTGTATTCTGAAGTTGGAGGGTGGGGGGAAAGCAGAAGTATGTCAGAGACAAGTACATATACCGTATTTTTCGCTCTATAAGACGCACCAGACCACAAGACGCACCTAGTTTTTGGAGGAGGAAAACAAGAAAAAAAATATTCTGAATCTCAGAAGCCAGAACAGCAAGAGGGATCGCTGCGCAGTGAAAGCAGCAATCCCTCCTTCTGTTCTGGCTTCTGGGATAGCTGCACAGCCTGCATTCGCTCCATAAGACGCACACACATTTCCCCTTACTTTTTAGGAGCAAAAAAGTAAGTCTTATAGAGCAAAAAATACGGTACTTTGTTGTGGTTGGAGATAAGCTGTACTTCCTGGAGTGATAATCATACAGAAGGTCCCAGGTTCAAACCCCAGCATTTCCACGTAGGGCTAGTAAACACTGGAGAGCTGCTGCCAGTCAGTGTAAGACAGTATTGAGCTAGATGGACTAGTGGTCTGACTCAGGAACGTACCAAGAGAGTGGGTGGTTTTCCTAGCCAGGTCTGCCTTGTTCCTTGGGAGTATGTTTTGCCTTCTCATACTCATCTGTACTGAAAGGGTAGCTATCACTTGCACACTGCCTGTTCACACATAATGTCACTATATCTAAACTATCCACTGCAGCTCCTGCAATGTGCCTTGGCGCCCTTTTCAAATTTGACACTGGAGATTGTGGTTTACATCTTCCTACTGCAGGAGGAATGGTGGAGCAACATTCCTAGGGCTAAGGGACTAGATTTGACTCTGTGAGAAATCACTGGGTGTAGTTGTCTTGCAAGACCTAACTGCAGACGCCAACCTTGCTCCTGAGGATTTCACAATATGTTGTAAAAAAGAGAGAGAGAGAGAGAGAGAGAGAGAGAGAGAAAGCATTTTGTAAAATTCTATATGGCTGGCCCTACCATTGGGTAGACAGAGTTGGCTGCCATAGTCTGCAGATGCTGTAGGGTGTGGAACGATGACAAGATGTTGGGTGATGGAGCTCTGGGCTGCATGGCCTCTCCTGCACCCCCTAAGCTAGCCACCACCTCCAGGGCACAAATGAGGTTGCTATCCTATAATGGCTATTTGATTAAGATCCAACCGTCAGATTGGTTGGTTCCTGTACATAGACCAATGGGGTATGATCTTTTCCTTTAAGCTGGGCTGCAAAATATATTGGGTTGGCTCTGCAGAGTGAGTTTAAAAGTGAAATTAGTGTAGACTTCACATTGTGACCTTTCTGTGGTAGGACATGGGTAATATTTCCAGGGGCCAAGAGAACACTGGAGGTAGGAGTAGGAGGCATGTTTCTTGCTATCTCTTCTTTCCCATACCTCCTGCTCATTATTTGTGTACACTAAAAACACTTGCTAACAAAGTGAAAACAAAAAAGTTTCAATACTGGTTTTTCAGGTACATTTGAGTGTGTGCTATACAAAGCACAATCTATTCCAGTTTTCTCCTGCTCATAGCGCTAATGAATGAGTGAGCCTTTTAGTCAGTGGCTCCAGTTAGCATCCAGTGTTAATATCTAACTACATAATGGCATGAGTTGCAGCTGTGTAACAACTTTGCTATTAGTCAGGGCCAAACCCTCTTGCAACCGAGTGTGCTGACCATGTTAGGTAGTGGGGAGCAGGCGTTGAAGAGCACTTTGGCTTAATGCTCCACCTACTATTGCATTAGTTAGGCAGAACTATGTGCTATGAATGAAACATATTGTCCCCAGTCCTGTGCTTACTTTATATCACTGATGTAGAAGAAAGGTAAAGGGACTCCTGACCATTAGGTCCAGTTGCAGACGACTCTGGGGTTGCAGCGCTCATCTCACTTTATTGGCCGAGGGAGCTGGTGTACAGCTTCCAGGTCATGTGGCCAGCATGACTAAGCCACTTATGGCAAACCAGAGCAGCACACGGAAATGTTGTTTACCTTCCCACCTATTTATCTACTTGCACTTTGTGCTTTCGAACTGCTAGGCTGGCAGGAGCAGGGACCGAGCAACGGGAGCTCACCCTGTCACGGGGATTCAAACTGCTGACCTTCTGATCGGCAAGCCCTAGGCTCTATGGTTTAACCCACAGCACCACCCATGTCCCAGAAGAAAGGTACTGTTAAGTATTTGGGAGATAGATAGATAGATGATAGATAGATGGATGATAGATACAGATGAGAATGAATGAAGACAATGTGTTTCTCTCCCTTGAGCCCAAAAGAGGGTTCAGTCCTTTTTGTTTTCAAAACTCTTTCATAGCAATGCATAGGTTATTAATCCATAACTTCCACCTACTTTCCCCAATACCATTTATTCTTTGTGTAATACACTTACAATACAAATGCAATACAAATACTCACTGGATTGCTTGACAAACTCTTAAGGCACAAAATAATAAGCCTAATTGGTGGCAAAAATGGCTGAGAACCAATGAAGTATAGTGGTTAGAGTGCCAGGCTAGTACTGGAGAGACCTGGGTTCAAATCCCAACTCAGCCATGAAGCTCAAGGTTGAGACATTTCTTCAGAAACAATCTTATTTGCATCACAGGATGTTTGTGAGAATAAAATGAAGAGGGGGAAGCAGTCCACCTCCTTGAAGGAAGGGTTGGATAAAAGCATGGTAGATAATAAAGTAAAATGACCTCCATAGGCTTTAGCAGGAACAATGGTCAGGCATAAGGAAGGATTAAGCATGATGGATAAATAAGGTAAGAACAGCCACTGAGGGTTTTTCCAGGAACAATGGACAGGCATAGGAAAGATTAATCATGGAAGGTTTTAACAATGTATTTGGATGGCATGCATACTTATGGTATGATAAGGTCAAAGCACACAAAGCATTTAAAAATCATATTGTTAGGAAAGCATTGTTTAATGTCTGGATAAGATACAAAGACTTATTGGAAAATAAAACCCCAAGGTGGCTGTCACCAATGGAAGCAAAAGCTCTGAAAAGGCTCAATATGGAGGCCAAATGGCCGACATATTGGGAAATTTTGGAGCAAGAAGGAGATAAATTGAGACTGCAGAGTTTTGAAAAATTAAAAATAAAGTGAGAGATTGGCTCCACTACTATCAGATAATGGAGGCATATAATTTGGATAAGAAAATAGGCTTCCAAGTGGAAAAGTCAAAATTAGAAACAGAATTGTTAGAACCCAAAACTAAAAATTTGTCAAGAATGTATAACTTGCTGTTGAAATGGAATACTCAGGATGAAACGGTGAAATCTGCTATGATTAAATGGGCACAAGATGTTGGACATAATATTATGTTCGCTGACTGGGAACAGTTATGGACCACAGGTATGAAGTTTACGGCATGTAATGCCTTAAGAGAGAATATTATGAAAATGATATACAGGTGGTACATGACCCCAGTCAAGCTTGCAAAAATTTATCATTTGCCCGATAATAAATGTTGGAAATGTAAAGAAACTGAAGGTACATTCTTTCACCTTTGGTGGACGTGCCCAAAGATTAAGGCTTTCTTGGAAATGATATATAATGAACTGAAAAAGGTATTTAAATATACCTTTCTGAAGAAACCAGAGGCCTTTCTCTTGGGCATTGTCGGCCAACTGGTGCCAAAGAAGGACAGAACCTTTTCATGTATGCTACAACAGCAGCAAGAATACTTATCGCAAAGTATTGGAAGACACAAGATCTACCCACTTTGGAAGAATGGCAGATGAAGGTGATTGACTACATGGAATTGGCGGAAATGACTGGCAGAATCCGAGACCAGGGAGAAGAGTCGGTGAAAGAAGACTGGAAAAAATTTAAGGACTATTTACAGAAATATTGTAAAATTAAGGAACTTTAGAAGGATGCTGGATAGAAATTAAGAGGTTTTTAGCTGTAATGCTTTAAGAGACATGGGGAAAAGGGTTAACAATTGGGTAAAAGATTAATGGTAAGGATTTGCTGAACCAACAAACTGAATTGGAATACAAAGAAGGGAGGTATGAGGAGGTCTGGGGAAATAAGAGTAAGGAAGATAGGTTATGGAACATTATTGTGTTTTTAACTGTTTTATTTTGTATGTTTTTTCTTACTTTTTGCTTTTTTGCTGTAATTTACACTTTTTTCTTTGTTTTCTGTATTTTTGTGAAACTTTAATAAATATCATTTTAAAAAAAAAAAGGAAAGATTAATCATGGCCTTCACACTCTCTTCAAAAGATTCTAAAATTGTGGATCGTCTTGATGGAGTCAAGCTTGCCAGATAGCCCTGTCAGTTCAATGGTAGAACTCCCCCAAACCAAATTGAATTATAGTATCCAATTAAGTATTTAGGAGTGTTCCCTATGTAGGCTTCATGATTATCATGTTTGGTTTTTCACCAATGAGCAGCTAACACTCTTGCTTTTATCTCCTTTTTAGAGAGAAATCCAACCAACCGGACAAAAGGAAGAAGCTTTATTGGTCATAAGGTCAATGCAAGCGACACCTCTAAAGATGCATACACTGTGGATGCTTTTGCAGCCAAAATCCTCACTGGCAAATTGACTACAGTCTTCCTTCCCACGGTCTACATTCTAGTGTTCATCATTGGCTTGCCAAGCAATGCTATGGCTCTGTGGGTCTTCTTCTTGAGAACGAAAAAGCGGCACCCAGCAGTGGTCTATATGGCTAACCTGGCAATGGCGGATCTCCTCTTCGTTATCTGGTTCCCTCTGAAGATTGCATACCATATTAATGGCAATAACTGGATCTATGGCGAAGGCTTGTGCAAAGTACTCGTTGGGTTCTTCTATGGAAACATGTACTGCTCTATCCTTTTTATGACATGCCTCAGCGTACAAAGGTATTGGGTGATTGTGAACCCCATATTGCACTCAAGAAAGAAGTCGGAAATTTCTGTGGGGATTTCAGCTGCAATATGGGTACTCATCCTCCTTGGCACCATTCCATTGTATCTCGTTGACCAAACTGTTTATGTTTCTAACCTGAACATCACCACTTGTCATGATGTCCTGCCTCATGCAGTGTTGGCTAAAGACATGTACAACTACTTCCTTTCTCTAGCAATTGGAGTTTTCTTATTCCCTGCTGTTCTCACCACTGTTTCCTACGTCCTCATGATAAAGACTCTGAACGCTTCCATTACAGATGAGAACATTGGGAAGAAACGGAAAAGAGCCATCAAGTTCATCATTACTGTGCTTTCCATGTACTTGATCTGTTTTTTGCCCAGTAATGTTCTGCTCGTGTTACACTACGCCCAGATCACAACCCACAACACCAGTAATGTATATGCCTTGTACATTGTAGCGTTGTGCCTTTCTTCCCTAAACAGCTGCATCGATCCATTTGTCTATTACTTCATTTCAAAGGACTTTAGGGACAACCTTAAAAACGCACTCCTCTGTCGAAGCGTGCGCACTACAAGGAGGATGCAAGTCTCTCTCTCGTCAAACAGATACCCAAGGAAGTCCCCCTCTTATTCCTCCGGTTCACAGACTACGAAGTCAACCTACTAAATTTATATTTGGATGGAAGTTTGGTCTCCTGTTGGCAATGAAAAACTGAACAGTGTTTGCCTTACAGAACTTCATAAGAACTTCCAAACTGCTGTATCCTTCCATCTTTCCTGTGGGATGGAAAAACCAAAAGCAGCTGGCCTGATACTTGCGCCAAACAAATCATCAGGCTTCTGCTTCTGTAGACAAGTTAGTTGGTTTTAAAGGGAACCTTCAGCGTAAATGCTGATAGCCACTGCTAGTTCCCAGGCTTATTGTTATGGTCTTATGTAATCACTAATCTTCAGTAATAATTAAAAGGTTTGCGTTTTGAGGGTCACAGTCCTTCATGAGATAAGTCTTACAACACACATGTAGCAGTTTGTAGACAGATGATTCAGTTATGTTTGCCAAATCTCAAGGCCCTATTGTATTACTGATGTCCAAGTGAGTATTGTTTGCACTGAGATAGATATAGATATATATCTAAGGTTTTTTTATATATATAATTTATAGACAACTCTTTATATTTTGAATATGCTGTGAATATGCAATGAGACCAATAATGTAGTCTCAGTGTAACATGCAATTATGTGCTTTTTTCAGAAATGTACTTTGCAGTAATTTTGTTTCCAATATTTTAAACTTTTTATAAAGTGGTGCTTTTAATAAACTCCGATTTTTGTCTATTACGTTTAAGGTATTACTATTGTCTCAAAAAGCATTAAAGCAGGGGTGGGAAACCTCATACCATGGAGCCCAAATGTGGTCCTCCAGACCTCTCTGGACTCTTCCCAAGTGGCACCCCTGCAACTTGTTCTGCCCATGAACTGAGCCAAGGTAGGGTGCCTTGTGATATTTGTATACTCTGCTCACAGGTAACAAACTGACCAATGACCTTTCCGTTCAGCAAGTTCTTAAATGTGGATTATATGAGGGACTATGGGATCCAGTTTGAAAAATAAATTTGCAGATTTTCAAAAGGACTTATTGGCCACATTTGCACATCATGCTAAGCCAAACGGTCTGCCTTCTGCAATGGTGATTGCAGCCACTTTGTTCCTCCCTGGTTCTTTTAGCTCTGCATAATGCAGCAGCTAAGCTCTGCCTGTTATAAAAAACAGGAATTGTGCTTAAGTTCTTTTTTTCTAACCATGATCTGTAGCCAAGGTTTTTTCTCGGGTACAGATCATGGTTAAGGAGGACTTCAGTGACTAGTATGCATGACACACACTAAGCCAAACCTGAGCTAAAAGAATTTGTCAGGAACAAAGCAAGAGTGAGCTTTGCATGAACTAATATGTTTGCACAGTCCTGCTAAGCCATAGTTTGGTTCAATGAGGCCCTTCTTCATGTGTCTCCTCCATGAGAGGTCCAAAAGGTGACAACACAAAACAGGGCCTTTTCTGCAGTGGCTCCACATTTGTGGAATGCTCTCCCCAGGTAAGTTCGACTGGCAGCTTCATTATACAGCTTTAGGTGCCAGGCGAAAACATTCCTTCAACCAGGCCTTTGGCTGATTAACATCAATACCCTTTTAAATGAGTTTGTGGGAGGGGGGTTATTGGTTTGTTTTTGTTCTTACTATGTATTTTGTGTTTTTTATCTTACAATTTTATGTTGTGAACCTCCCTGAGATCTACGGATGAAGGGCTGTATACATTTTTTAAAAAAAACAAGAATAATAAACATAATTAAAGTGTTATGCAAAGTGGGCCACTGTGTTTCTGAGCCATGGAACAAGAATTTGGTTGGTGCTGTGTTTTGCTTGGTTCTGCTAATAATTACAATCCCTAACTTTTCCTTTAACTCCCAAAGCATGCCATGAGAAATGAAAGGCTCTTATAGACCATTTTACTTAGGAAGCTTCCTGTTTCACCAGCTAGTGTTCTTATTTTGTCTCCTCTGAGTCAGCTGCTGGGGAGACTGGTCAATGTTGCCATGTTTCTGACTCAGAAGTAACTGAATCATCATAAGGTCACTGGAGAAAGACCCACCCTCGCAGGTGACTGCTGGCTTCATTTTGGCACAACCAGCCACTACTGGGCTGTACTAGAAGAGAATCATGCTCTGAATGACAATGATTCATGAAGAAATACTGGAAGGAGTTGGTTCCTCCAGTTGTTCTAACTTTCTTAATAGCTGGGGTACAAGAATGAGTCGTGCTTCTAATTCAGTGAAGGGTCAAAATGTACCTAAGCAGTTCAGAAAACACTATAAAAAAGAGTTACATAAAGTGTGTCATCACACCTTGAATGGAAAAATTAATAGCTCTGGTGCATCATCGAAATAAAGGACCATCTGGCCCAGCATTTTCTTTCCCCTAGCAGCCTACCCACACATCTCCAGAAAGTCCGCAAGTGGGGCATGAAGACAATAGCCCTTTTCTATTCTGGTTGCTGCTATCAGCAGTTGGCCCTCAGAGCATATAGCTACCATGATTTGCAGCCACTTGTCCTCCATGATGTTTTTTTTTAAAAATGAACCTGAGTTCTCCTGTGTTATAATGTATGCTCAACCGCTGACCTATGGACATGCCAATTTAGTGGGCTGAAATATAAAGTCAGAAGTGACTTTGGGGGTACACCAGTTGAAGCCTTTGCTCAGTGCAGGACCTGCAATGCCAGATGCAACTGCAGCTTCCCTTATAGATAATGGTTCAACCTCTCCTGAAATGACTCCAGTGAAGGAGAGCCCACCATCTCCCTGTGTAGGCCACATTTAAATCATGCATTTAAAGCACTATTGATACCACTTTGAACAGTCATGACCTGCCCCTCCACGAAAAAGAAAATAATTCTGGGAGCTGTAGTTTGTTAACAGTTCTGAGAGTTTTTGGGAGATCCCTGTTCCTTTCACAGAGCTACAGTTCCCTGAGTTCCCTGTGAAGAGGTAGGGAGTGATAAACCACTCTGGCAACTACAGCTGTAGGAGGGGAATAAGAGTTGCCTGGCAACTCTCAGTACCTTTTAACAAACTACATATATATAAGAAAGGGCTAATTGGAGTTTCTGGTATCATGCCAGTCTGAATGAGTGCTCTGGTCTACTGTATGGAGAAATAAATTGGACTCTGGCACTTGGAAGTGAGCCACTGCAAAGTTCATGATCCTGGGAGTTCAGGTAATACCTGATACTGTATATCATTTTCATTCCATCTCATGTTTTTGGATCAAGGAAGTGCTCTTGTGTGTCCTAATCGTGTTATGTAAGGAATAACAAAGCGCTCAGGGAGTTGCCTTCCCAGCGGAAGCAAAGGGAGGAATCTGAAATACACAAAGCAAGCAGGTACTGTATTCATACCTAATCAAGCCAAGAATGTTGCAGAACAAGATTATTACTGTTTCTTGTTCCAGGTTTCATGCCCTTAGGGTTAATATACCAAATCTACAGGGCCATGCTTTGTGTGAATAATAAACTTGATTATGATAATTATGATGGTGATAATACATTTCTTGGACTCTGCCCAGGATGACTAGCAACCATTAGAAAAATACAACCGGATGACCAAAATTTTCCTGATGCAGCACATACAGAAGGCATTAAGGTGTCACTCCCGGTGGCTGTCAGTTGCCCAAACAAACTTCCATAAAGCAGCATGCTCAACACACAAGCCTGGTAGACCTTCATCTTGGTGTTGGACATTAGCATCACATTCTCCCATACCCTTGTGGAGAGGCCAGCCATTGGCATTCCTGCCTTGCCAATATGCTTGTCCAGCTGAACATCACTGGAAAGGTGCTGGTTATGGTGGAGCTCAGGTAGACAAGATAAAAACATTATTCCTTCTTAAAAAAAAAATTAAAATACAATATACTGAAGAAAATAACTGAAAGATATGGGGCAGACAGGGCTGGCCCAAGGCATTTTAGCATCTGAGGTGAACAACAAAATGGCCAAAAAACAAAACAAAACAAAAAAACTGCTAGGGAAGAAGGGCTGAGTGAATATCTACATCAGGAACAAGGGGGAAATAAAGATGTGTAATGCTTTATTAAGAGACGCGGGTGGCGCTGTGGGTCAAACCACAGAGCCTAGGACTTGCCGATCAGAAGGTCGGCAGTTCGAATCCCTGCGGCGGGGTGAGCTCCTGTTGCTCGGTCCCTGTTCCTGTCAACCTAGCAGTTTGAAAGCACGTCAAAGTGCAAGTAGATAAATAGGTACCGCTCTAGAGGGAAGGCAAATGGTGTTTCCATGCGCTGCTCTGGTATGTCAGAAGCGGCTTAGTCATGCTGGCCACATGACCTGGAAGCTGTACGCCGGCTCCCTCGGCCAATAAAGCGAGATGAGCGCTGCAACCCCAGAGTCGGTCACGACTGGACCTAATGGTCAGGGGTCCCTTTACCTTTAATGCTTTATTATGTTATTATATATGTTGTAAGATGCCCAGAGTGGCTGGGGCAACCCAGTCAGATGGGTGGGGTACAAATAATAAAAATAATTATGATTTATATCTAGAAACGCCCAAGGCATTTGCTTCACCTTGCCTCATGGGTGGGCCAGCCCTGGGGAGAGGACTCAGGAGGACTAGAAATGAGCAGCAGGAGGAGCAAAAAGGAAATGAAGCAGGGAGTTGTGAGTACTCCATAATCCCAAAACCATGATATGCCAAATGCACATCACAAGGGACAGTGAAATGTGGTTCTTTTAGAAAAAAAATTCAGGCTACTATCAGCTATGCCAAAAGCAGGTTTTAACTCCAGGGAAACACATGTATCACCTAGACAGGAGAAATAATATGTGGTTCACATCTCCAAAATGCAGGAACAAATTACTAGCCGAATTTTGAGATGGTACAGGTAAGTCCTCATACATTAGAATAGATATAGTGTATTCTATATGTCATAAGAGCTCCCTCTTCTGGTTATAGCTCATATTAAAGGTCCTTTATAAAAGGTCTTCCGATCCTTAGCTAATTTAAAGATTTAGGCTAATATCTTTCTTAGATTTAAATATTGCTTCTTAGTTCTCAATATACAGTGGTACCTCAGGTTACAGATGCTTCAGGTTACAGATGCTTCAGGTTACAGATGCTTCAGGTTACAGACTCCACTAACCCAGAAACATTACCTCCAGTTAAGAACTTTGCTTCAGGATGAGAACAGAAATCGTGCTCCGGCGGCAGCGGGAGTACCCCGTTAGCTAAAGTGGTGCTGGTTAAGAACAGTTTCAGGTTAAGAACAGACCTCCAGAACAAATTAAGTTCTTAACCCGAGGTACCACTGTATGATGATTCTCACTACACCTGAGAGATGAGTTTGTGTCCTTGGGATCCCTTTCCCCCATCCCTCTTTGTTGAGATGTGAGCTGTGACTTGTTCACAGCTGCGCTGTGCCCTTTGCTGGCGCCCAAGGCTCATGCACCAGGCAGGACCAGAGGATTAGCTTGAAGGCTGAACCAAACCCACTGCGCCAGCCCAACCCTCCCTGCCACAGGCACAGAGCATGGATGGTTCACGGGGCCACAGTTTGCCACCTGCCTGCCTGCCCACGAAGCGGGGAGCCTGGTCGGGTGGCTGACAGATGCAGCCCTTGGTGGATGCATCACCCCAATGCTGTCTGGGCAGCCATTCAGTGAGGGGGCCAGGTGTGCAGCAGCAAGGCCAGGCTGGGCTCCAGGGCCCAGAGACCCCCAGTGGCAGGCAGGATGGGGATCCCTGTGTGAGGCACCTGGCTCGCGCCCCCTCAAAATCATACACCCAGGGCCACGGCCCTCCCCATGCTATGCCACTGCTTTTTGTTGTTTAGTCGTTTAGACTCTTCGTGACCCAATGGACCAGAGCACGCCAGGCACTCCTGTCTTCTACTGCCTCCCGCAGTTTGGTCAAACTCATGCTGGTACCTTCGAAAACACTGTCAAACCATCTCGTCCTCTGTCATCCCCTTCTCCCTGTGCCCTCCATCTTTCCCAACATCAGGGTCTTTTCCAAGGAGTAGTCTCTTCTCATGAGATGGCCAAGGTATTGGAGCCTCAGCTTCACAATCTGTCCTTCCAGTGAGCACTCAGGGCCGATTTCCTTAAGAATGGATAGGTTTGATCTTCTTGCAGTCCATGGGACTCTCAAGAGTTTCCTCCAGCACCATAATTCAAAAGCATCAATTCTTTGGCGATCAGCCTTCTTGATGGTCCAGCTCTCACTTCCATACATCACTACTGGGAAAACCATAGCTTTAACTATACGGGCCTTTGTCGGCAAGGTGATGTCTCTGCTTTTTAAGATGCCGTCTAGGTTTGTCATTGCTTTTCTCCCAAGAAGCAGGCGTCTTTTAATTTCATGACTGCTGTCACCATCTGCAGTGATCATGGAGCCCAAGAAAGTAAAATCTCTCACTGCCTCCACTTCTTCCCCTTCTATTTGCTAGGAGGTGATGGGACCAGTGGCCATGATCTTAGTTTTTTTGATGTTGAGCTTCAGACCATATTTTGCATTCTCCTCTTTCACCCTCATGAAAAACTTCTTTAATTCCTCCTCACTTTCTGCCACCAAGGTTGTAGAACTCCTGCTTATCTCCTCCTCCTCCTTTGCTTTCAAAGGAATTCTGCTTGCTGGGTTCTGACCAGCTCTTGCTTCTCACTGACTTCTGGCCTAGGCAGAGTAGACCACAACTCTGATCACCACTGACCATTGGCCATGATAGCTGGGGTTGGCTGGAGGGGGTGTTCAAGGACATCTGGAGGGCACCATAACAGATAAGAACAAAGCAAGGACCTGCTGGACCAAACCAATGGCCCATCTAACATCCTGCTCTCACATCCGGCTCTCTGGTTTTACGTGGTATTTTTGTTTGACTAATATTGTTTGTTTTATATTGTACACAGCTTGGAGATTTTTAAACTATTAAGCAGCTGTCAGGGAACTGCCATCAGCGCCGGAGGGAGAGAGCAAAAGCCAGAGGGATTATAGAGAGCCTCCAGGGATTGGGAGAAGCAGCTCATCTTCTGGGGAAGAGAATAAACGCAGCTCCAGTGGAGGGGGCGTGCAGGAGTCAGAAGTGGCAAGGCAGTCCCATGACTCCTTGCCTGGGACAAGCGGGGAAGGAAGGGGTCCTCCGCTGCCCATACCCTCTCTGCGCAGAAGGCTTTCGTGCAGAGAGGGAAGGCGGAGACTGGGCGTCAAGGAGCTTCTGTGCTGGAGGAAGTTTAAGAAACGCCCCACTCACAGATTCTGCCAGCGATTGAGTCAGCCACGGGTGAGTGGCTCTCCAGACAGATAAAGTTTACATTAGCAGCCAGCCAGGGAGAGATTTGCCTGCTTGCACACGAGCAACCCCTTGGAAACCTAACAGCAGCTTATCAATGTTTTTGAATGAATGAATGAATGACATTTTGGGCTGGTATAAGCATAAAACAGAGATAGGGAACCTGCAACCAACCAGATGTCATTGGTCTGCAACTCCCAACATCCTTTACTATTGGCCAGGCTGGCTGAGCCTCATGGGAGTTGGAGTACCATGGCCTCTGGAGGGCCACAGGCCTAAAACAAATTCAAAACAAACCACATTTTGCTTGTGTCCCTTAACTAGGTCTATGAACCCTCACTTTCAAATGTCAAAAGTTTCCACTGCTTGAGGCACAGTTTGACTACCCATGGTCAAACTAGAACTTGAATCAAAATCTCCTTTAAAAGTGCTAAAATATAACTGGACAGAAAGCAAGGCCAAAACCTATAATAGCATGTTTCATAGGAACTTATTTTGTTGCTGATCCATACCTGGCTTCCTGTTGCTGCTTCTCCTCATTTGCAACTGGGGCAGCTCCATTAGAGTGAGGCAGCTCCACATGAGTGGAGAGTGACATCAAGGCTTCAAAGGACAGGGACACTCTATCTATCTATCTCTCTATCTATCTATCTATCTATCTATCTACCTACCTACCTACCTATCTATCTACCTACTGGTATCTATCTATCTATCCATCCCACCTGTGAGGATCTGCCAGGCAGAGGTATAAGTACCTAGGGTCCCTTGTACCCTTGGCAAGGAGTTCTGCTGAGGCACTCAGAACAGCCTGTGCACTTCACCCAATCGCCTAGAGCAGTGGAGGAACGGCCTGGGGGGGTGAAGGGGCAGGCTTCTAGCCACTCCAAGCCAGAGTGGAGAGGCACAATTTTTGCACCCGCTGCACCTGTGCTCTTGCAAGGACCAACCTGGCAAACACCTAGGTAAGTATCTGCTGCCAGGGATGGCCACAGGTAACCAAGGTAGCTCTTACCCACTCCTCCAAACTGGATATTGAGTTGAGAGGTGTGTGCATGTGGCCCCACTGAGTACCACAAACATGAGGTTCTTTGGGAGTTTTTTTATTTCTAGAGGCAGCTGGTGATCAAGGTTATTCTTCTAGCTGTCCCAATAAATTGCAGGGATCAGAGGTGCACAAAGCTTAACTATTATTTCCCATGATATTTTTTTATTTTGCTGTCCTCACAGCTTAGAGGACTTAGCTAGCTGTTTAAGGGTTTTTTAAGTAGGTAGATTCCACTTCTATGTGTTTGCTTCTCTAGCAAGATAGCACAGAAAACACTTAACTGTGCCAGTTACGGTAAATCTAAAGTAAACAGCATACAACTCCATTTCAGCACACAAGGGGGAGCCACACTCCAAATAAAATTTTGACTTATAATGCACACAAAAATTTCACCAACATTTATATCTGAACCCTGTAATAGAAGTGTGCATTGACTCTGTTTGTTCCCTGAATTAAGAGATGAACTTCAGTGATTCAGGTAAGGTCCTCCTGCTTCCTAGTCAGATTGCACCATTCACAAGGCATCTCAAGATGTCTCAAAGTTATTGAGTGTCTCTGTGGTCTGGCTGTCCCTAACATAAACCTGCTAGTTCCACCGACTCCCAAGAAATGAAACCAGGCTTACTGGGGAAAAGCTCAGAGCCAAAAATCTGTGGCAGGGGGCAGAACCCCAACAACAAGCACCCTTGGGTAACAGGGCCATTGCTGAGGAGTGACATTCCCCATTACAGTGGTACCTCTAGTTACAAACTTAATTTGTTCCGGAGGTCCGTTCTTTACCTGAAACTGTTCTTAACTAGAGGTGTGCTTTCGCTAATGGGGCCTCTTGCTGCCGCTGCGCCGCCGGCACACGATTTCCGTTCTTATCCTGGGGCAAAGTTCTCAACTCGAGGTAACTCTTCCAGGTTAGCGGAGTTTGTAACCTGAGGCGTTTGTAACTCGAGGTACCACTGTATTTCCTTAGGACCCATGCTCTTTTTTGCACCTCCACGCATCCCCTCAATGCAAACATCTCACTTCATGTGAAGCAACCCTAGATCCGCCCAAAAATGTGGCACAAGTAGGAAAGATCTTACACCTTCCAGAGCAACCTCATCACCTCCTTAGAGAAGACGACTTCATGTTTTCTGAATCATAGCCCTAAGTGCCAATTAGTAGAAATACAATTTGCTGTATTTACTTCTTAGTAGGGACTGAGAAGAAATTCGATTCAGATCACATGTAAAAGTTGTATCTATCGAATCTGCATTTTTCAAAGCAAAATGAGAACTGAGCCATCTTTTGAAATTTTGTGATGCAGTTCCCCAACTAAATAAAGTTTACAAAAATGCACATATTAGGTAAAAGTGTGCATAAATATGAATATTTTCTTGAAGATGACATATAAAAAGACATTATGTTAAGAAAAATTACTTGCAAAAATGTGTACATACAAAAAAATGTGTTTGTTAGAAATTCGTACTCAAATGCCAAAGTTATTTTGTGAGGATTAGGAAAAAAATCAAATTGCTGTAGAAATGTGAAGAGCCAAATTTTAGATTGGAAAAAAAATGAGAAATTGGGAAATCAAAACTGATGGACTCTTCTGCTCCCACTTCTAGTGAATCAGTAAGTTGCAAACAGCATATAGCTACAGTGTTTTCTAAGTGAATTTTCCTGCCATTCTTTCATGAAGAGGGCTATCTTTTAGTGGCACCACCTGTGCTTTGAACGCCTTTGCGTCTCCAGTACTCTTTTGAGTTTGGAAATTATATGCTGAAGGTTCGGTTTTAACTTCTGAAGCGTGACAATCCAGTCTCACATTGGACTGAACTTAGGTCAATATCTTACGAAATCAGATGCAGCCTTCCTTCACCTGGTGCCCTCCAAATGTTTGGTCTACAACTCCCTTCATCCTCAGTTTGGATTGGCTGTGCTGGCTCACTGGGACTGATGGGAACTGTAGTCCAAAACACCCCAAAGGTACCAGGGGAAGGTTAGTGTAATGATTAGTATGTTGAAGTAGCACTGGGAGGAGACAGGTTCAAACCCCCCTCAGTTATAAAGCTCACTGAATGATCTTGGACCAATCTCTATTTCTCAGCCTTCATTACCTCACAGGGTCATTGTAAGGATGAAATGGGGGAATAGGGGGTAGGAAATGTATACTTCCCTTAGCTCCTTAGGGGAAGGATGGGCTATAAATGAAATAAAACATAAGGCAAAGCACTGCATCTTCTTGTTCTGTATTTGTGGTATTCCCAGTGGTTGGCTTCCTAGCAACTAATTGGATTTCCATCCTCGATGTTTTAATGAAGTTGCCGCTTTTATACTTCTAGCTCCTTATTGAATGCTCAGGGAAGCCAGCCAGCCTCAAGAAAGCCACCTGGGGAAAGATACCTACACCTGTTGACGCATAACAAGCAGTCACAAATAAAGTGAAACCCAGGAAGGGGGAGACATTTTATCATTGGTGATTTCCCTCTAGAAACCCCAGGGGAATTTGGTAAGCTAGGGTGGAACCCTCAGAATAGAGTTGACTACAGTCTGTACCTGCTGGAGACAATACTTTATTTGGACCATTTCAGAACAGGTAGGAAGAAATGCTTAAATTTTGCCTTGTTAGATGTATTTTGCTTCTTTGCCCTTTCAGGAAAACGTGTGGCCACTTAGAGATGACTGCACATCCAATGAGCTCAATACATTTCTTCCTGGATTCATTTGTAAAAGTGCTCTCCTAAATTAGCGTCGTAAACAAGTTTGTGCAGCTGGTCAGATGATAAATATTTAGTATCACAGAAGCTCTGAATCCTATATTGACTTTCTGGGCAACTGTGTTTATCTCTGTGCATATACAGAAATGCTTACGTTTTAGATGGTTCATGCAAGATTGCTCTAAGCCTTCCCTTTATCTCCCTTTGTAGTATGCCAACACTGCTGGAAGGTGCGATGGACACCTTAATCAAGGTCTTTCACCATTACTCAGGAAAAGAAGGGGACAAATATAAACTCAATAAAGGAGAACTCAAGGAGCTCCTCACCAGCGAACTTACTGACTTCCTTTCGGTAAGACAGAGTCATGGTTAAATCTTTTTTTCACCGACTGCTTGCTGGACATGGGGAGGGGGAATAGCTACTGGAGGATCCTTGACGAGTATTTCATATGCCGTTTGTTCACCCAGACATGCAATTAAGTCTTTTCTGCAACAGCAGCTGTACTGTGTGCAAAAATAGTTGCTATATTTTGCCACATCCAAGGAAATGTGCTTTGGTGACCAAGTACTTAGGACCCTTGATTATGTTATTATTAGAAACCTTTATCCAAATAGCTGAATATCTAGGCATTACAACCAATATGGTAGAACTCAGTTTGTGCATTGTGAGCTTCCCTGCCCCCACTGACATGGATCAGTGGTGGACAAACTTGGTACATGAAGACAAGTAATGGGATGGGAAAGGTAGGAGATGCACAGTAGTCATGGTGATCCCCATAGCAAATGTAATATCTAAATGAATGGGGAGCTGATTTTATTCATTCACTGGGGAAGAGGCGATGTTCCTTTTCAAAGTAGAAAAACTGTGTTCCACAGAACACAGCTTCAGTATTGAATTAATGACACAAGTGCACACACTCAACTGTTCTTAGCAATAAAAGCAAAACTAATTCTCAGCTGCTATGTTTTTGCTTAAGAGTTTAAGAATATTTCAAGTGCCGTGTTATTTAGAACAAACTACCTATCTAGTCTAAGAATATGGAAGGCTCACGAAAGTGCTGCAGAAGTGAATCATCTGATTTGTTTTATTTGTTTATTTTCCTTTTATTCTTTACTGGCCGGTCTTCAGCTGCGGCTCTCAAAGCAGCTTACAACAAATCCACAAAAATGCAATATAGAAAAGAATCCAGTGCAACATACAAATTAGAGCAGAAAACTTAAACGTCCTCTTTGACGTACAGAACAATTCCTCTGCTGCATCCTGCCGTTCCTATAGAGTTTGTATCCAAAGATAACCTCATCCCACTGGCTTTCTCTTCTTTTACCAGGATTTCTGTTATGCCCACAATAGCTGTACTCTTCTTTAAATCCAAGCATTCCAGTTCAGCCATCTTGGCCAGTGTATTAATTGTATTACATTGCTCAGAGGCAGTAAACCTCTGGTATCAAAATAATGCAAACAGCAAGGGGTGGCTATACCTTATTCACTAGGCTAAAGCTGGGACAGAAGGAAGTTGGGTTGGGGTTATGAGACAGAGATTCTATTTTCTTCGATAGTGACCATAGGTTCTCTTTGGGAATGGTTTTAATGTTAGCTGCACGTGACTCATACCATGTACAATGTACAAATAGGTATGGGAAAACTGGTGGGTGAGGGTTTTTTTTACTTGCATTCCTTTCTCTTGGTTCCTTCTTAGACTGCATATACACCATATATTTAAAGCACATTTCACATGCATTACCCTCCCCCAAAGAATCCTGGGAACTGTAGTTGAATGGTGATTGGAACTGTATCTCCGTGAAGGCAGATTAGTGTCTGGGGTTTTGAGGGCAAAATGTGCTTTTGTATACACAGTCTTACTCACTCTGTCAGCCTCATAGGCTCTCTCTGCACCATCTGTGCAGCTGAATCATAGCCACAGGGTGCTATCCCCAACTGCCTCAAGGCAACCTCACCCCTGCCTCTTCGAGTCCTTTCCCTCTTCCCTTCAGACCTATTCAGCTGCGGCCATGTCAAGCATAACATTATTTGCCCCATTCCTTAGTATGTAATGCAATGGTTGAGAAGCATGCAAATAGGTCTGATATGAGGGTAGGGATTAGTGTAATGCAGGCGTAGGCAAACTCGGCCCTCCAGATGTTTTGGGACTACAACTCCCATCATTCTGTTAGCTAGGGATGATGGGAGTTGTAGTCCCAAAACATCTGGAGGGCCGAGTTTGCTTATGCCTGGTGTAATGGCTGCCAATGTCTCAAAGGTACTGATGCCTCCCCAGAGCAAATAATATTCCCTTAGGCAAATTATTAGAAAGAAGAGGCATTTAAGGCATTTTTATTGTGTCTGTAAGCCTATTTGAACTATTTCCACGAGTCAAATGACTAATAAGTGATAATGCCTAGGCGAAAGTTTACAGCAGGGGTGTGCAACCTTTTGGGAGCTGCATACCATTGTGGGCAGAGGCGTGAAGTAGGCAGATCAATGGATGTGACTCTTAACTTTGTAAAGTAGGCTACATATCACAGTTAAAGGATGAGATTCCAACTTGGCAAAAGAACTAAAGGAGAGAGCAGATCAGGACAGGTGAGCTGTGCTGCTAGGGAGAGCCCCAAGAATTAGATGGAGAGGCCTGGTGGTTACTCACCCTTGGTTTAAAGAAATCTCAATCGTAATTTGCTATCTTCTCCTCCACCTTTCTGGTGGTATTGCTGTTGACCATGCTAGTAAGGTGGGCAGATGGGCAGAAAGATAGAATATGTAGATCAAAGTGTATGCTGATGAATTTTGGTCTATGTCTGGAAATTTTCTTGCTTTTTAAGTGCTTCTTCGGGCCTGAAGCCACATGCAGTTTTATTCATAGGTTGATTGGAAACTCCTGTGGACTCTAAATATAGCTTCCTATCTATCCTGAGCAGAGAGGTGGCTGAGAAGAGCTCTCGCTACAGGACACATTATCAGTCTTGATGTGATTTGTGTTCCTCTATTTTGTTCCTAATTTATAACGCCGCTGAAGTTCTTGTGTTAAAAAAAGAAAGATCTGATATATAAGTGGCATCCTGTAGTCTATTAATCCTAAGAAATCTCATAGTCTTAAAATTTGGCAGCTCTGCAAAAAGGAAAAGAAATAAAAAAAGGAACCTGTCATCAATTTTCTCGGATTGGATTCTCTCTGTCCTGCATTCCATCTTAATAAAATATCTCTGTTTGTAGCGACCCAGTCCCCAGAGTAATCAGCAAGCACTAACTAGATGTGCTTCAGACTTTTGAAGATTAAGCAGAAATCGTGGATTATATCTGGTTTAGGTTGAGTCCACGTTTAGCTTCCTGTGCTCCTAATTTAGTCCTGGTTTGTAGAGCATATTTCACACATTAGGATTAAAGCAGCTTTTGCCTCTGTCGGGTTTGTAATGATGATTTTTAAAAACTGTAGGAGCCACAATGCTAATTCACATTGCAAATTCATCTTCTACACAAACAACCATTATCATTAGCATGCAAGAAGCTGAAAACCTCACATGTGAAAATGCCCTTGAAATAATTTCACTAGTACACAGAAGTTCATATAAATCTAGAATGCAAGATACATAGGGTCGCAGAGCGGTTATCTATACAGCTGGTGGTAATTAGGGTAAATTCTAGGTTTAGATTAATTGGGATACAGATACTGGAAATTACTACAATATTTTGAGTTTGGGGAGCTGACTAACAAAACTCGGGTTGCAATTCTATACCCACTTGCCTTGGGAGTAAGCTTCATTGAACTCTATGGGATTTAGTTCTGAGTATACATATACTGTATAGGATTACCATCTTCAAAGATCAATTCCCTCTTCTCCCTCCTACATGAGAGAACACCTCTCTGTGCTCTTTGCTTGCAACATGTGTGTGCGGTCCCTAAAAACAAGATCCTTTCTTCTTTTGGGGTATAGCTTTATTTATATGCAGATATAACCAGTTTGTTGTCTAAAATTCAGATACCTGATCTACTAAGACAATACATTGGATGATGGCCCTAGTGGGAAAACATTGACATTTAGCTTATTAATAAAGTAAACCATCTACACTATTAGCAATAAATATCATGTTGTTCAAAGTTGAGGCACCTCATATACCTGCTGCAGACACTGGTAAATATCACAGTACAAATAAGAAATTCCCTGAGGGTTAAGGACAGTGTATGCACATGCCCTCAAGGAAATAAAAAGAAATCTCTAATGTAATTTAACACACATCTCAGAAGATTCTCTAACCAATATTGAAATGTACATATCTATCTATCTATCTATCTATCTATCTATCTATCTATCTATCTATCTGTTTTTGCCTTTATAGTGTCAAAAGGATCCCCAGTTGGTTGATAAGATTATGCAAGATCTTGATAGCAATAAAGACAATGAAGTGGATTTTAACGAATTTGTGGTTCTGGTTGCTGCCTTGACTGTTGCATGCAATGATTTCTTTGAAGAGCAAATGAGGAAAAGGGGAGAATAGAAATGGTAGGTGAAGCATGTTTAATTATCACTGTAGCACTTTTCTTATCTAATGGTTGAGCTCATTGAACCTGGATATTATGGATAACAAATGAAGTTATCATTGAGACATTTCAGCTTTCCTCTCACTTCCTTGTGTAGAATGTCCATCCAAATGTAACTTGCCAATATGAAAAATGAGAGAAAGGAAGAAAATACAAAAGTAGCTGAATGTATGCACCTTAATGTGGATAATTTCCTTTTCCTAAGGATGATGTCATTGCTAAATACCTGCTACATCTCTGTTTGCATTGACAGGTTGCAGTCACCTTTGGGAGACAGGATGGGAGGCAGCAACTTCAACGGAACCAATATTTCACTTTTTGTTTTGTGTTTGGCTTTCCCTTCTCTTCCAGCAATACAAGGTTTCCTGTCAACACTCCCACTTCTGTTTTTATATCAGTGCACAATGAGCAGTTCATCCATAGGCAAGATGTGTTCCAAAACCCAGCCATTTACTTTCAGCAAGTCTCTTCGTATGAACCCACCCAGACCCTGAGATCATCATCTGAGGCCCTTCTTCATGTACCTCCTCCATGGAGGGTGGCAACAGGGGAATGGGCCTTTTCTGCAGTGGCTCCCCATTTGTGGAATGCTCTCCCCGACGAGGTTCTGCTGGTGCCTTCATTATACACTTTCAGGTGCCAGGTGAAAAGGTTCCTCTTTAACCAGCCCTTTGGCTGATGAACATCCTTTTACCCTTTTAAATGTGTTTGGGGGATGGGTCTATTGGTTTGTTTAGTTCTTGCTCTTGTTTTTATTATGTATTTTTGTGTTTCTTTATCTTGCATTTTTATGTTGTAAACCACCCTGAGATCTATAGTTCGGTATACACACTTAATAAATAATAAATAATATTAAATAATAATAAATATGGCTGCTGTATGTATTGGACCTTTAGATCTGTCATCACATGGCATATTAGGTGCTGTGTTGTAGGTCAACCCTTGAATCAGTTCAATTCTATTGAGTCCTTTTGAGTAGTGCTGGAACAGAGCCATATAATAGCTGCATAGCTGTGTAGTGTGCAGAGCCTGATGTAACAGTGATTTTTACCTTAAGGTTAACCATTGCCACCTTTCTCTGGATTTCTCAGCAGATGGTGAGAGGTAGATATGCTGGAACTAACTGTATGGCTACAGGCCACAGCCACACATGCATGGTATAGGCATTTATAGCAAGGTTTTTCAGAGGTCACTTGACTCCACCCATAATGCAGAGTTTCAAGTGTATGAGTAAACGACATCTTTTCCATTGCTCTATAAGCTACTAGTTTAAGTGCAAGGCCATAGGAAGAGTACAGGTGTTGACCAGTTCTTTCCTGGTGAGAAGAATATTTAGCTAAAAACAACAGCCTGGGGAGAGAGGAAAGCCAGGGCCACGCACGCTTCCTAAATGTTTCATCTGGCCAGATTGAGCCAAGAGCCTGAGATAGCCTCACCTTTAATGGATCATGGCCCCATCACATCCCTAGTACCCTGCCAGTAACTTAACAAGCGTTATTCAGCTTTTTCTGCTCTAAGAACTCACCAGAAGAACACTCTGTCCCCCAGACTCGGCACCCCATCTTCCTGACTCAAAAATATCCTCTCTCAATCTTGCATTCTTCTGAGTATCTTCTTCGACCTGTTTGAAAAACCCATCCAAATTATTTTCACAAACCATTTGTGGGTCCAGTTTTAGAATTATTGGGTTTAGGGTTCTATTGTTATAAGGATGAAGGTGGTTCTGCTGAATGGCTTGTTTTTTCTCCCATTAACATTTTGTATATGTTTTTCTTTACTTTTAATGTCATTTAAATAAACCACAATAAAGTACTAGACAGAGACTCTGATGTTGGGATTTGTGTATGAAAGGTACACGAGACACTTTATGAGAAAATTATGCTTCTGTCTCTTAACCAGTTAAGAAGGTATGACATATTTTGCCGAGTCCTGAGTGATGCATCTGTCATTGTGGGGTAACCTTTTCCCTCTAAACTGATTTGTTAAGAAGGAGGGCAGTGGTGTTACTGTAGGTGCTAATTTCTGGGGATGGTTGTTGCAGATTTTCATCACAGATTTAGTTGATCAAAGACATTTGGGGCTTGAAATATGCTTTTTATTTAAAACTCTTAAAGTCACTAGAGAACAGGAATAGACTTTCTCATGCCAATAGGTAAGCAATAGTCCTTTTCCATGTCTCATTTTGAAGCAAGGAAATGGAACAACAGACCTTAAAAGCTCTTTTGCAGCTGTCTGGGTATTTAGGAAGGAGCTACATGGTTGACAGCAGAAGGGCTGCATGTGTTGAGGGGGCTGGGGGCAGGGGGAGAATGGGGAGTGTATCCACTTTCTTCAACAGGAAGGATATAGCCCATAATTCTTTGTTCTAGACAAAACAATGCCGTATTTTCTATTAGTGTGATCAATTGCAGAGACGGAGTGAGGAAAGCAAAGTCAGATACTGGAGATTTATCTGCTGTCTTTAATTAAATTGCTCCATGATCATGAATTTAGACTAGTCTCCCCCTTTGAACAATGGAAAATGTGCTCACTACATGGGCTTATCCAAACATCCTCAGCTCTACCATTAAACACTTAAATTAAGAAAGGAGTCTATATCAGAGAGTCTACCTTAAAAAATCAATAGAAAAGTAAGAGCTATTTATGGTTTAATATCCTCCTCTGTACATGTGAGATCAGGAAAAATACAGCAGTGTCAAACAATCACTTCTTAAGAGTCTACAAGATCCCGGTTGCATTAGATGTCCCTAAGTTGCTTAGAAAACAAACTGTATTGCCTTTAAGCTTATAGGCATTGACATTTCCTTTTATGTCTAAATGACCATTGAAGCAGCACTGGGGAAAATTACTGGATTAATGTATTTTGGTATTTGGCAGTTCTGTTTCAATAAGCTTTATCATCATCATCAAGTGCTTTATCCAATCAGAAATCAGGATAAGGTGCCTGATGACATCAATGAGCTGCTGCTTGCTTCAGAATTCTGCAGTTCTTTGAGGCATTGACTCTCCAAGTAAACCCATGTCAAGGCAACACCTCCTCATCCTCATGCATTAGTAGCCTGTGTCAAATGGCTCAAGAGCAGAGACTATCAAGGTGAACTGGGAAATGCATAATTGAACCCCAGAGTTAAAAACGAGAACAAGTGAGTGTTTTGAAACTCTAGGCACCAAAATATTGCGGTAAATGGAGAAGAAGAAATTGGAAATGTCATTGAGGGGGATACAGCTGGGTTGTGTTTCCCTTCCCTCTGTTTGATAATTGATAGTATATTAGTATAGCAAGTATCATTAAAAGAATGGCAAATGAAGGAATGAGATGCATTTTGACATTAAAGTCATGAAGCACCTGCAGAAGTTACGAGGAAGAATCTGGTTCCATTCAAAGGAACACACCATACATTCAGCATTCTTAAACCGTCACTGTGCTGTGAGTTATTCAGGTTGTTACACATGTGAAAATAATGGTTTGTACTGAAGGCACCATCTGCTTAGGATTCATTTTATTTATTTACTCTTTGTTTTAAGTATTTATCAGCTGTACTTCATGAACAAATCTAGGGTGGTGTACAAAAAGTGCAGATAAAATTAACACAGCATAGAAATTTGAAGCCAACAAATAAGCACAAAAAAGACACATTAAAATGAACCAAAAACAGAATGCAATTGCAAAACACATCTGTAATCTAAGGCCTCTCCCAGAAGACCTGTTTATTGAGCATTCATTCTGATTTGTCTGTAGGGAGGTTAGATGACATTGCATCTGTTATGTGTTATCTCACACTTTTCAGTGTATTTTCCCACCGCCTTCCTCATCGCAAAAAGATTGATCTTTTGCCGAAGTGGGTTGCTACACACCACCCCCTCACAATCAACTATAATTGCACTACTTGAATTTGATGTTATGTGACTGAGTCCCACCCATAAATTGCAACAGTCTGGAAGTGCCCTAAAATGCTTGAGCAAATAGGTAGGTCTTCATGTGGCATCAAAAAGATTACAATGGCCCTGCTTGACCAGCCTCCTTAAGGAGAGCATTCCAATTTTGTGCCACCATGAAACAAATATTTGTCAAGGCACAGCATACCTCAGCTGCGTAGTTGAATAAGGGCCTCTCCAGAAAATCTTATGAGAAGGGCAGGCTGGTATGAATCAGTCATAAGCAAGTTCTAGGTTTAGCACAAAAACACCTTTCTTAGTTCTTAGAGAGAGCACCGGAAAGTCATAAAATGGTCTACAGAACAACTGAGATTTATTTGTTTACTTAGTGTTTATACATGTTGTTTATCTTGCTCGTGCTTTTTATGCAGTGATATGACATCATCTCCATGTCTAATAAGAGTTTTTGACTGATGGGATAATAATTAACAAATTCTCCATTATTCAGAGGTAATTAGGTTGGCTGCACACCACTGAAGTGTGGCTTCATTGTTCTGAGACAAACAAGTTATACTGTCAATGTTATCTGCTTTTAGCCACATGTTACTAGATGCAAGATAGTCCTTTGTTATTTGTTACAGTTATTTGGCTTATTTTCTAAGCCCACAGGAGTCTGGACACAACTGCATCCTTTGGAATCACACAAAGTAAACAAACTGTGAGTATAGGGGAATAATGAAAGATACTGTGTTCTTGAATCATGGAATCAATGAAAGGAAGACTATAAACAACAGACTCATAGGGTGCTTGAGAATTTTTCCAAAATATATGGTGTACTAAACCTTGAAGAGCTAAATGCAACCAGAGGCTGGAATATTCCATGATGGTGATCATTATTATTTTTACCTAACTACATATTTGCTTCAGGAGGAATTCAACATTGTGCTAAGTGGATCACTCCAGCAGCCCAAACATTTCTGCCTACCTGGTGGAAGAATGTGCCCTTCTCCCAGCAACTTGTGCAATTTGGGGGGAAAGCCCCACTACACTAGCCGTAGTCCTTGTATGGGCTTTCAGTGGT